CTTTATATGATTGCCTTTCTTGACTTGACTTTCACTTGGTGAACCACATGTTCAAGAGTCTGTGCAAGGGCACATTCAGGATGACAAGCGCTCATTACTCATGACCTTTTGCAGTGGTGGCATTAGATGGGTGGTGCGGGCTTGGCTGTGTTCATCCACCATTGTTCTTGTGGGATGGGGATGCAGCTTTGCTCAGCTTTTGGACGCCCCTGAAATTCTCACTCCCTGAGTTCCTGGAAAGTGGTAAGTAGCAAGATCATACGTCTTTGGCAATCCACTCCGAATGCTTTTAGCAATGTTATTTCTTCACATTGCGGAGTTATCGCGTAGCGTCCGTGCCACAAGTCCCAGCCGTTCACTTCACAGCGTCAGGTGTATTTCTTGGGCTCGGAGGCAGATTTCCAGCGCCGTCCGCAGGCACGCTCGTACGTGTCAGAAGAGGGTGCCAACATCCTTCCCTTCTCATCACCCACCACCGTGGTTGGCAGGGAAAGGATTGGTTACGTCAGTGGTGTAAAGTGGAAAAGTAAATCTGCCTCAGGGCGGCGTGTCAGGATGATCGAGATGTGTTCTTTGCTGGGCCTTGTGGTCATTTACGAAAGCAGTGGATTAGGCCGGTGACAGTTCACAAAAGCCATCGTCAGGCATCCCGCCAAACTTCCGGCCAGGCTTTTGCAGAGTGCTGGCTACACACCAATGCTCGAATTCAATTGCAACCTCTGGCTGCCAGGCTGCAGACATCATTTTGGCTGCAACGTGACACAGAGTCGCCTCAAAGATGTTGCCACTACCTTTTTGCTCGCTTTGTTGCAGCGCACGGGCTTGGTGTGGCTTCTCTCACAAAGGATACGCAGATCCGCAAAAACACATGGGTTCCACGCCTTCAAAACTAAATGATTGCCGTGCACCAAGCTGCACGGGTCATGACTCGCAGGGGTTCGGGTTTTGATGGCTGCTAAGCATCCCGTAGCCCACCGTCGCCAAGGATGGCCGCATAAGCCATGAGGCAAGAGGCGCGTGGGACTCGCGGGGGCCATCTCCGCAATACGTACGAGTTTGTGCTATGCGTTTGTTTGGCTTCCTTTTTAGCAACCCAAGCCGGGCACCATCCAAAAAGTCATATCATATGTTGCGAAGCGGCTGGACAGATTTCAATCAGTGAATCGCAGCAGGTATTGGGCGGGTCATGACTAGGATTCGGATAGCGGTTGGTGCTGGATCTGTGAGAAGCAGTGCCGCATTTTGCATCGTTCAGCATCCTTTGTCATGACTTTGCTGCCAACGCGCGTGGCATTGTCCAAATAATGGCAGGCCTAGTCAAATCGGCTGACGCACAGGAACTAAGGTTGGCATGAATCTGGCAGAAGTAGAAGGGAAACAATGCGCCAGGAGCAACACCAGAGGGTTCCAGAACGCATTCCACACCACTTTTTTTGGTCGTAAATTTTACAGGTTGTTGCAGGCTTGCTTGATTGCTGGCCACCCAGCTTGCGCACACTTTGCTGACGTCAGGGCCTTGAGCGTCCCATGCGGCAGGGCAAGTGCTAGCCTTTTGTCCCACTTGGAATCTTCATGCCTACAGATGGGGGGGCGACCTCCAGAAGTCCTTGAATGGTTTGGTTTCCTTTTGGTGAAGGTGCCGGGGGCCGACAACCACAGAACCTGAGTAACTGACTGGCAGGCCACGTGCACATGGGCTTCCAGAGCAGTTACCTTGGCGTGGCACAGCGGCTTGGGCAGCTGGCTTCCGCCACGGTGTCCATCATGGGTTGCCTGGATGATGCAAGGGGCCTGAATGAAGCCAACCACAAGAAGTAGGTGGCGTCCGTGCCATGGACGCTTAAGAGACGATCCAAGCCCAAAAAACACAGCCCGGTGTGTCCATCGTGCGGGGGTTGCCCCCCTATTGCAGGCAGCGCCCATGTGCGGTACGGCTTGTTTAGCAGGACTCCTGGCTAGATTTCCTCTTGAGTGGTTATAATCCTCGCCCAGTTCAAGATGAGCTTGGATTTGTGCGAGCCTGTTATTGTTCCCAGCGCCAAATCTAGGGAACCCTTCTAAGGTTCTAGGGCTTCGTGCAAAGGTGAAGAGTCTACTGGCAAGGCTGAAGTAGACAGCTCTGCGTGCACCTTGCGCAACCGCCAAGGCTATTCTCTCGGCGGTGCCCTTGCAACGCTGGCAGCGCTTGACTTGTGCTGCAAAGGTTTCACCCGGATCGACGCTTGGATGCATGGATGTCTTGCCATCGCCCAAATGTATACAATGACACTGCCAGTTGCTGCAAAGGCTTGCTTTCACGCTTGGGGGTCCTTGGGGGATGACCATCATGAAGCCGGCACGATGCAAGAGAGGTGCCTTTTTCGCAGACACGCGGCACGTTTCCTTTCACGAATCTTCACAGCAGCTATGCTTTCTCAGCTCAGGAGTTGATCACTTTCGGCAGCCCCCGGCTGGGGAACGACTCTTGGGCTTGATGGGTGGGAGCCGCTGGGCCCGGAAGCCAGCAGAATCAGCTTCTGCAGCTGGAGGGGCCGGGTCGTTTCTCCAACTCGGACTTGGCGACAAATTGTATTGAGGTTGCCTCGAAAGGGCAACCCTCAAAATGCTGCGCTTCCAATCCGTTTTTCTTCAAGCCACCTCAAAAAATGGCGTGCCTGCAAAAAGGCGCAACCGGATAGTTCGACTGGGGCAATCACTAAGCAAACGGGTTTATTTTTCTAGACCTGCATGACGGCATCCGCGCGGATGCAGGCTGTTTTGTTTGTCCGTTGTGCTACTTGACCTTTGGGGTTCAGCCTGACCAAGAGACGAAGGCAGCCGGCAAAGCTTTGATCAGCTTGAGGAGTCTTTCAGGGACTACTTCAACGAGAAGTGCTTGGCGACGGGCGTACTGCGCGTCGTGAGATTCGCAAACACTCTGGACCTGGTTCCGCATGCTGCTGGGCCGGCACACTTTCGGGGAAGCAGAACAAAGCACAAGTTTGCCGTGGCGCTTTGCAATGTTTACAAGGATCTGCAGATCCTGTAATTCAACCAGACTAGTGGCCCATAGCAAAGTCGAAGTTGGATGATCACGGTTCTAAGGCTGATTTGACACGTTGAATTTGTCAGCATGCTTTGATACTGATACCTTTCAGGGATAGACTGCTTTGCATGCCTTGCTGAGGTTCCTTTCAACCCTGAAGATGCCGTCGATTCCAGCAGGCCCCATATCGTGCAAACCTTGTTGCATGATTGTGCAGTCACGGGCTATTGTCGAGATGGCACGCCATTGTGCATGATCCTTCATTTGACAAAGGTCCATCGGGCTATGAGCCAATGCACCCTGCTTGTGAGACCAAAGATGCTGTGTTTTGGATTGCTTCGTGGATGGTTAGCTTTGAAATGTTTCAGGATGCAAGCCAGCCACGAGCACATTAAATGTGTGAAAAGTTCCCGAGCATTCCGCTTTGGATGGTTCCTCCGCATTTAGCTTCAAAATGGCAACATCTGTGGATTTGTTGCCTCATTTGGGCTCGGTGTGGGCATGATTCGGTCAAACTTCCATGTTGTGCCCTGGCTGTGCCCTGCGTACTTGGCGTGGACCTTGTTGATAGGCAAGTCTCGGCAGAGCTGCGCAGCAAAAGCCAATTTGCTCCAAGTCGGCAGCGAGAAATGCCCCGGAAGGTTCTCTTGGCCGCCAAGGTTTGGCCCCAAACGAGAGACCTCCGTTGGGGCGGTTTCTCAAGATCCCTAAGCAAACACGGCGGGGACCCTCAAACCCAGGCACCAGGGACCATTTCCGAGACTCCCAGTGTCTTTCCGTTTCTTTGGGAGGCTGCCTGCAACAGTTGGGGTCACTAGTGTTGACACTGAACGGTATTTTGTTGCTTAGCCATTGCAACATTGAGCAGAGAAACCTACCCTGCAGAGACTGCTAGACAGTCTGGGTGTGTGTTAGGGCTCTTGAGTCCGCAAAGCTGCTTGCATTGAAAAAGCCAAAGCGAAGCAGCCGAGCAACGGCTTTGCCGCCCATGGCAGGCAAGGTCAGCTTTGGCGATGTGTGGAGCAGACGTTGCTGGCACGGCTTCCACAGGAGAGACTGACTGGGGACGCAGGCAACTATGTTCACGTGACTGGGGCGGCAATGTCTTGGAAAACAGACCCAGCAATGGTGCGTGCTCGAAATGAAGTTCGACATGATCGTGACTCATGCGCAAAAGGAAATTCCTGTTGAAGGTCATCGTTTTGGGGGTGCTTTGCTCGCCATAATGTCTTCCTAGGCAGCTAAGAGTTTTGAGCTAAAAGAAAAGTTTGCAGCTCTAGGCAGGTTGTTGTCCACTGTCGGCATCCGATGCTTTTGACGGGAAACACAGATCAGAATTGCGCACTTGGGGAACCATGGGGGAAAGGACCTATCCCTGTAACCAATCCCTGAAAGCGACTGGTTGGCACTTCCGAGAATTTCCGAGAGACTACGAGACGGAAACAGAGAGCAGAGGCACAAGCCTTGGTGATGTATGGTGAGCACAACAACCCCCAAAGAGCTACCCTGAACATGTACTGCCCACCTGAGCTTTTCTGGAGAGGCGGCCTTGGCCGGCTTCACTAGCAAATGCGTGTGCACATGCGCATGTGTGCACATGACCATGTGATATGTGATGCTTGGTTCTTGAGAGGATTGTGAACGGTGCACTTCCCTAAGAGCCTAAGAGGCACACCCAACAAAGAACCCTTTCCGGACTTCTTTTTCCAACTAATTTGCTGGGCTGCATCATCAACATCCAAGATCCAAGAGCCCCACAAAGACTTGGCACAGGCATCTGGCCCAGTTCCTAGGTGACGCCTGGGACGGTGCTGGATGGCCTTTCCACAGGTGTGGCTGGGGTGGTGTCGCGGCTGGCGAACATTGCAGAGCAGCTCTCCTGCAATGTGCGGGTCCCCACCCTCAAAAATCTGCCCCCCTGCTGTGAAAGAAAGTCCCGGTGATGCCATGATGGCCTGGTTGAATCAATGCTGTGACGGTTTGGCCAGTTGGATTGAGTGCCAACCTTCGAACTCGATCATGCCAGAAGTTTGCCAGAAGGCCTGTGAATTCATTCTGCAAATCATGGTGCATTCGGCCAGCCTTTACCCATGAATGTGTGGCCGCATGAGACTTTGGTGTGGATAGTTTCGCGGGCAGCATTTGTCTCTCTAGCTGTAAGGTGGGAAGGCCGGCTTTCGCTGTCCTCACTGCCTGCGGAGTTCATGAGCGAGCACTGCTTGAGTAGCTATCTTCGCCGCTCGGTCCTGGTTGGGAGGTTGGATGGCATTGTTTGCTTGTTTGTTTGTTTGTTGGTTGGTTTGTTTGTTTGTTTGTTTATGCGTGGAATTGCACCGCGCCACAGTGCAACATTTGAAGGCCCAGCCGACATTGCCTTTCATCAAATGATGGAATGACACATAATCATAATGTGCAGTTGTTTTTTCGCAATCGGCTAGATCCAGGTACCCGTAGATGCCCGGGACCGGATAGGTGCAACAGTGAATTCATGAGTTTCACTGGCCTGCGGTGACCCTTTTGATTTTGTTTGTATCGTTGCTTTGTTTCGCACTGCGAGGCAGGCTGCACAAAACAGAGGCGCGAGTTTGTCACTGCCTTTAGTGAAATCACGCCAACACAACATGCAGTTGGGAGCTGGGCCAGGGCAGTCCCAAGGTGTGATGGTGGATCTCCACGCACGCCAGGCACTGCCCTGTTGCCTAATTGGTTCCCAGGTTGGGCGTTGAAGAAGTTAAGAGCATGATGGGGGCAGATTGCGAGTTGAAACCTTCGGTTGATGACGGATGGGGGAAAAATGGAATCAGATCCCTCAGGTAGGGCTGGACAAAACTTTGCAGGGCGAGCTGAGAGGGGGGCTAGCAGGGAGTCCTTAGATGAGAAGCCATTTTGCCTGTGGTCTTGTGTTTGCCCGTGCCTCCGCCCCTATGCCAGTCTTAGGCACGGTGGAGGCTGCACCACGCCCTGCTTGGGTGACCTTGCGCCTTGGAGCCATGGGGCCTCAGGGAAGCACAGAGAGGCGCAGGCTGTAGGTGTTTTGTGGGTTCCTCCTCCACCGACCCACCAATCCAAACCACCCAATTAGAGGGAAGCTGAAGGAGTAGGTTTGTCCTTCGAGAGCTGATGTGGACATGCCAATGTACCCTAATTTGTTGCGGGAACTGAGCACACCGACCATTCGCGGGGGAGGCCCTAAGTCTTGTGACTGATCGCTGCGCTTTCAAGGCTGCCAAAGTGGCAGCTGCAGCTTGCAGTGGCTTGCAGGCCCCCGCCTTTGAGCAATGCAGTTGAGAGGGAGGTACCCCATTCTCACACGTGGGCATGTCGTGCGCGCCCCCTCGCCGTACATTTCCCTGCGAGGGTACAAGGAAAACCGCCTTAGGTGAGGATGCATGAGAGCTGTTTGACCACGCGTTGCTCATGACTCTGCTGAGTTGCTGGGCTCATGTGCGCACAGGCAGTGCGAGGCTAACTTTCTGCCCTTGATTTTGACTTTGGCTCATTTGGGCTCAAAATGCCCTGGTTGCATGTTTGGATTATTTTAGTTAAGCAACTCACAGGTAGGCCATGGCAAACGACTAGCTTTCAATATGGCCATGCGAGTGTTTCTCACCATCAAGAACCCTCCACATACTTGGTAACCTTGTGGTTGTCCCTCAAAACCATGCCCCAAAAAAAGACCAATTTTGAGAAACGCCCAGGTCGAGCACGTTGTTGGAGTCCAGCCCTTTGCGCGTGGCTATGCGGAGCCTCCGTTCGTCGGCTCCGGCGGCCGCGCCTTGGCTGAAGGGGGTACGCCGGATACGCCGGGAGGGTGGATAATGGTGGTGGGGATCCCTTTTGGGCGGCCAGGGTTCTGGATGTAGTTTCAGCGCCAGCTTTGCGAATCCGTGAATATTCGGTAAAGTGAGATTCATCGTTCGTTACCTGAAAACATGGTAATGTGAGAATTCATCGTTCGGTAAAGTGAGAAAATTATGCCCTGACACTATTTCATGCTGCGAGCTTTTTCCCCAAAGCCAAGTTGATCGGTCCTCCAAGATGATCGGTCGCTGAAAGGAGTGTGCAGAAATCGAAGCGCAAAACGAGCGCAAACATCTGCAAAGCGAGCGCAAATATCCGCAAACGAGAGCACAACTTAAAAGCGCTGCAATTGCGCGCCTTCCTCCGAACAAATTCAGAAACCAATTGCCTTTTTTGTTGGGAACACATGCTTTGCGAAGCATCGAGCAGATCCCCGTTCCCCCTACAAATTCACGCGGGACCTAAAAAAGGTGAAGGGAGGCTCCATTCCTAGGCAAAACATGTGCTTGCTAGGTCTCTTGACATTCTTACGATTCTGATCTTGCGGAGACAGTGTCAAAGAGCCCCAACCTCCGACCCACGGGTGCGGACCAGCTGGACTCCATTTCTCGGAGTAGAACAGCCCACGCACCACGGCCCGTTTTCACCAATGTTTTTGCAGGGTCCGTGTCACGTACACGTATGCTGAGCATCTTGAGAGCACCCTTTAGCGCAACAGTGGCAACTGGACAGACTGCGAGGCTCCGATCTGCCAGGATCCGTGGCAAGTCACTAGGAGACAGATTCGCCCATCACCGCCTATGACTCAGCAGAGGTTACCAAAACTTGTTTGGACAATAAGTTTGAAGGCCATGCAAAGAAGAATGACAATCAACACAGGTTTGAAACAAGCAATGTTTTGTTTCCCAACAGGGGTGTGTTTTATTTGTTCAATATTTTCCGAGATTGGGGAACGGCCAAGACGGAGGCCGCCCCGTTGGAAGTGGCGACCTCTGCGGGCATCAGTGCTGCAGGCAGCTCGGCCTGGCACTGATGGACAGACACGGCCAGCTGGTGGTGAAGGTTTCTGCGGTAGAAGATCTAACACCAGAGACGGTAAGCGCCGCAGAAGGCTGAGGTTGGGAACATTCCCAAGTACAAGGGCAGGTTTCAACAAACGTTACCTTGCAATGGACAAGTGGGCAACGTGCGGAGAAACAGCTATGAAAGCCTTGGTTAATGTATGCATTGCTTTGCGAACGCTGGTGGGGGTATTTCAGAGAGCGCCTTGTGCGCACATCACGTTTTACAGCCTTTTGGCGCGGGGACCGGCTTGTAAGAGTGGTCTCCATAGCTAGTTGATTGCGGCAGGGCTTTAATCGCATTTCTTTGCGGATGAGCATTGGGCCCTCCCAGCTTGGTCAGAATGTCCGGATGGCCTGTTGGTGACCCTTCTCAAGGCCTGGTGCTTCCGCAGATTCTGGGCGCTGCTGTGTCCGCGATTGGCTGCTACTGCGTCGCCCAGGAGGTGCCTTGGACACAATTTTGGCGCATCCCTTTGATCGCTTGCTGTTTCCCCACCAGCTGTTGTTTGTGCATTGATGACGTACCTCATGCGGCAAAGCGTGGCTAGAAGACGCTAGAAGCAGTTGAAATCTTCAGTCAAGTTGCACTTGCCCACTCATGCGGTAAAGCCTGGCTTGGCATATCGGTTCCATACTGCGGCGCCCGCGCGTGAACCTCTGCCGCTGCAGCTGTTTCTGGGGACGCAACCCACATCAAAACCACAACCCGCAGAGGGCAATTGCTAGCAAATCAGCAGGCAAAGCTGGCTGCAGCCCAACTCCCCAGAGCAATGCCTCGTAAAACTCAGTACCGAGGCATACGCTCTTACGACAGCTAGCAGAACATGATAAATTAGCCGTGCTCCATTTGCAGCCCCTGGCTGCCAACCTCAGCCCAGCGTCCAAGTGAAGGCATTCAGTTTGAGGAGCAGCTGAGCACTTCAAGAAAGCTCGGAGCACGTCTCTGCCCTTAGGGTGGAAGTTTGACCTCTCCTGGTTGGTCTTCCCGTTGACCAAAGCGTCGACGCCATGGATGCCGCTGCCGCTGCTGCCTCGTTGTGCCTCGCGCCAGACCTTAAAAAGCGCGTGGCATCTTGGCGCGAGGGCTTGAGGGCTGGGAGACAAGTTGCCATGGACCTTGAAAGGAGCCAGGAGTTGACTAAGCCGCATCAATTCACATCAATCAACAGTGGAATTTAGTATCGTTTAGCTAGTTGGCCCAACCCTCCGGGTTGTTTGCGGGGACGCTGTGGGGGCTTCGATGGAGTGGATGGCGGGCCGGGGCCTGCTGGCCATCGCCGACACAGAACGTCCAGTGATCAGGGCTCACCCCCAAGAAGAAAACTTTCTGGAATGCGTGGCCCACCTTGGGCCAGGGCTTGGGCCAGTCCTTCGGTTGAACACCAAAAGCCTCTAAGTGTTTCAGGCGGACCCCCGGCGGGGAACTCGACTGAGCTGAGGAGATCATGGCAGAGCACGTGGCCAAGAATGGCCAGGGCTTTGAAAGCACCGTCAGGAGCGCAGGGAAAACAGGAAGACCCCCAGGTGCCAATGGGGAAAGTTCCTGCTCGTTTTGCTTCAATTGGCACTTTGAGCAGAATGCCCTGAAAGAGCGATTTGAGCTGGCTGGAATTTGACAGCACGTGTTTTGAAGTTTCAACCTGTGGGCAAGGTGGCAATGGACGTGCATTGCCTGGCGTGCATTATTTGCAAAGGAGCAAGAACGCCAACAATCCGCAGTTTCAGTTCCTTGCTGGCGGAGAGGGTTCAGAGTACTACCAGGCGCGGGGTACCAGGAGATTGTAGGAGATCACAATTTCCAGTGCATGTTTTGCTCGCAGCCCTTCCCCAATTAGCAGTTTGTGTGATGCCGTCATGGCCGGCCAAACAGCGTAAATACTTCAGTCTCAGCTTGAGAGTGCTGGAGCGTATCTTTTGACAGTGTTTGCTTGATGGATTAGAGGGGTGTTCAATCATAATATGAACCCACCGTGCCTTGCGATTGTCTGCTCACGATACCTGCAGCAAGCTTTGCACACAACACTGTCTGTGCATTCGCGTTTAGTGATCTCCTCCCGCAAGTTATTAAGGTCCCTGAATGTTCTTTTCAACACCCTGGCGGACCCAATACAAGAGTTGAATAGGCCAAGTTTAGAACAAGACTAAACCAGCGATTTCTCCCACCAACCTCTCCTCCAGCCGCATTCGGGGACCCCCGGCCTACACGGGAGTTGGCACCCCAAACCTGCACCCCTGCAGAGGATCTTTTGCATTCGGAAGGGGGGTCTGCTTTTTGGTTTTGGCAGCGGGGTTTATGTGGTCGCCTTCTTTTGTGGCCGTTGGCAGCGGTTAAACTCCTAGAGGCGCAGCTCAAAGTCTGTGGGGTCAGGCTTTGCTGGCAACTCACCACACGCCCTCTGCACCCTCAGCACCGGAGTCAACAGCAGACGACCTGGAGGACAGCCCCGAGTTGCAGCAGCATGTGCAGACGGAAACGGGCAGTGGAGCAGCTTGAGAGTGGGCACAACACTTGGGGCAAACAGTGGTTTGCAACTAGTTATTGGGACGGATTGCCAGCTGTTGTATGCTTGTGCAGCAAGGGCCCAGTGACCTGCAGCGATCAAAATCCGGTCATGCATTATCCTAAACGCTGGCCTTGGTTGGATACCCACCCTGTTCAGTATGATCTCTGTCTGCTACATTGATTTGGGACTCGTGGTGTGTTGCCGGCGAACCGCGGTTTTAATACGTCCAGCATGTGCTCCTGTTTGTGTTTGCGCCCACTGCATTTGCCCGCATGGATTTTGCATTTGCAACTGTTGCCGCATGTTTTGTTGGGATTTGTGCTGTTGCTGCGTGTTGTTTCTCACGTTGTTTATCACGCTGTTTGTCACGATGTTTCACACACTGCCTGGAATCTCGCTTCACTGCTGATGCCGGCTTGTTTTTTGCATCAGGACGATGATCTGATACATGTTCACGGTGATCCCTTGCAGAACCCGCTTTGGGTGTCATCTCGTGCCACAGTTCGGTAATGTTGCTTTAGGACCATGTCGTGATCGCTCCACATTCCACGAAGGACGAAGGTGCCCAAAACACTCGTTTCTTCCATTGCTTTGGCTTCCCTTCGGCACCAAGTCCTTCTACCAAAGCAAAACGCACGCCCAATCCGGGGCTGAGACACCATGCTGCCCGACAGGAGCTCATGCGGCGCTGGCCCACCCCTCAGGTGATGCCATTGATCCCGGAGCGGCGCCGGCGGCGTTTGCAGAACGCGGTGTTGGTCTGTTTGAAAGGGATTCCATCGGACTATGTTGGTGGGGAGTGTCTCCTGAGATCAACAAAATCCTTTTCACACCAGTTGCTGGTTTATCCACATCACATGTGTGAACCTATGAAGAATTTCTGGGGCCCAGCCGGCCAGCCACGATTTGGAGGAGAAAGACACCCACTCCCGCATGCTCCCGCAAATTCACTAGCTTAGACGAGCTAGAGTGACACGCATCAGGTCCTGTGCCAAGTTTGAAGTCGCCAAAGCCAAATCGAAGTCCAAACCCAACCAGCCGGCTAAAATCGGTTTGAGTGGTCTTTCTATCCATATCCAAAGTGCAGGTTGACGCACCCCTTTGTGTGTGTGACGCGAAATAGACCTTGACAGAAAAACAAGACGAACTCAAGTTTTTTAATGAAGAGCGCCCGAAGAGCATCCCAAACATCGCCGTCAACAGCCCAGGCCAAGCTTTCAATAGCCGAGGCACCGCGATCAACATCCCAGCTTTCAACATCCCAGGAACAGCAGGCAACCGCCAACCAAAGCGAGCCACGGACATGCCAAGCTTGCAATAGCCAAGGCACCACAATCAACATCCCAGGCGCAGCTTTCAACATGCCAGGCACAGCTTTCAATAGTCCAGGCGCAGAATCAACGGCAGGCACCGCATTCAACATACCAGGCATGGCCTGCAAAGATGCACGCTTTAGAATGCATAAAACACAAATGCACGGGGTACCTAGGTCCCCCCCCTCTCTGCATTTTTCTGGAATGGGGGATCCCCCACTCATAAGGGGTGGGGGACCTGGACAAATCATATATATATATATATATGCAATTTCGGGGTCCCCCCCCCAACCCCCCCCCCCATTCGCGCCCTGCAAAATGGGGCAGCTTTAACGTCCACACTTGCGCCGGGCAATGCCTCAAACGCACCAACGGGATCCCGAACATATGTGACTGCGCCTCTTTGTGTTTGGACGGCGCCTTCTTTGGTGGTTGGTTGGTTGTTTGGTTGGTTGGCTGGTTGGCTGGTTGGTTGTGACTCCGAGCAAGACATACGAACCCCCATTTCGGTTGATGAGTCAACACGCCAGAGCGAGTGTCCGATTTCCACGAGCTTATCCCGCTAAACGCCAGGCACGACCGGCAGCTTACGGAGATTCTGACTTCCCTGGAGAGGAGTGCCTCCAGCAGCTTGGAAAGTGTGAAGCAACGTTCAGATGGGGTTTGGGGGCAAGGAGGCATGATGGCACCAAAGCGGTGAACGCAGTCGGCAAAGTTGCAAAGAGTTTGGCCCTCCTTTGTTCGCCAGCGGCACTGACTGGAAGTTACGCGGCTGTGGCGCCGGGTTCACCAAATCACTTCTATACTTGCAGCCATTTAGAAATGATGTTGAAGCGGCAGGGAGTATTGCATGGTTTTCCACGCATATTTGGAGGTTACTTACTGCATTCCTTTTGGCAGTTGCTGCATTTCCCGAGGAGAGGCAATTGCGAAAGGCAGAGGTTGGATCGAAGCGCACGTGGACATGGCCCCAGTGATCGCAAGCAACATGATGAAACGCGTCGTGTTCTTGTCGAGCAGCTTGCACCGACTTCACGTCCTGCTCCTGTGTTGCATTGGAGGGGTGCGCGATGCCAGGGTGTTTGCCAAAGGAGCCACAAAGCGTTGCTAGCCATGCAGAACAATCTGCACAACGATTGTGACACTCAGCGCGGCGCTTTCCCGAAACCTCACCTCACCAGGCAAAAGCCAAGGAGTGAGGGGCTGACTGACTTGAAATAACAACAGCTGAGGTACTTGCTGCATGACCTCTTCATCAACGAGGCTGGGCGTCAGGACCCCGTGAAGCCGCTCATCGCCGCCTTCAAGCCCTGCCTGGTGTGGATCGTGCGCCCCACCTTTCAGATCGCCCAGTCGGTGATGCCGGACAGCGAAGGACGGCGAATTCAGCCATCTCCCAGGAATCACAGACCCGCATGTCGCAATGCACACCTTTCTTGCTGGCCACTTGTTACATGTTTGGTTTGCCTTGCCGTGTGTGTGTGTGTGTGTGTTGCTTGCTTTGAATTGAATTGAATTGCTTTGCTTTGCTTTGCTTTGCTTTGCTTGCTTGTCGATTGCCTGATTGCCTGCTTGTTGTGCTGCTTCCTTGTTTGTTGCCTGAGTGTGTGCATGTTCTTGCGTGATTTGAAGCTGCTTTTGCTTTGTCTTGCCTTGTGTTTGCCTGGATCCCTTTTCTTGCCGTTGTCGGTCTTTTAGCCTAAGGATGTTTGGGATGCGGGTGGACCCTTGCAGCATTCTGTTGTCGGAGTTAGCCCGCGAGGGCAGCCAATCGAAGCATAGCATCCTTCGCATAGCAAGCTGCTTACTTCTTGCCAGGCTGCGCAAAGATCCGGAAGCTGCTGGCCATGTGGGTGGAAAAGGCGGTGCTGAGCAGCCAGGAGGCTGCGGATGTGAGCGTTTTGATGAGCGCCAAAGATTTGCCCTCACCGCCAACCGGAAGACTCCTGCAGCAAGTGGGCGCTCAGATGGGCGCCCTGGGCCGGCAATGGGCTTTATGTCTATGTACTTTTTGGGAAATCAACCACTACTGGGTTGCTGGGCAGTTGATTTGCTCTCCTGTACTCAATTCGCGTCAAGGATCATTGCTTTCTATTGGTTGACCGATCAGTGCGTGCATATGTATACAGTATATATTAGGTGCTCGAAATGCTGAATTGCGGTGCATTGCCCCACACCTTTCCAGAATCCCGTGATCATAACCAACAACAGAATCATGCTCATAAACGCACCTATCATCATAGCGATAGCTTGCAGCTGCTCTCGTTCCCGCTGCTACCCGTCTCGCATGCCACCGGCATCACGCCTGCTCTGCCTGCTCTCAATGCGTGTGTGCTAGCCTTGCTGTCTTTCCACTGCTTACAAGTCACGACTGGCACAAGTCATGGGAAGGCGCTCCGAAGCTAGACATACATTCATGCGCCACCGTCCAGGAGCCTTATAGGTCAGCTTCCATAGGTTGAGCGGCTTCTCCCGCCGAGGCATGGCCATGTCGCAGATGCAGCAGCACAGCCTTGTGGGCAGCATTCTAGGCAGGGTTGAGCAAAGATGGTTTCAACCACCCAGACCATGGGCCCAATTTCAAGGGACAACCGGAAAACTTCAATACAGTTATCCATTGTAAGATCCAAGAGTGTTTGTTCAGCATGTTCAATCATTGTGATTGCCTAGCCCTAGGCGCATTGAACCCTGGGACGCCTGGCGTGATGCCCGGGCCTGTTCCGCATGGCACGTTGCATGCGGCCCATGGCGCGCATGGGACGCAGATCCCTGCGCCGATGGTCCCGGCGGCGCTTGCTGTGCCCCTGGCACCTGGTGCGGTGCACGGGCTGCCGCAGGCCGCAGGCAGGGCGCTTCCTTTGCTGTGCCTTCAGGGGAAAAGCGATTTCTGTCTTGGGATGCAAATCCCGTACTGAAAGGGCAGATGCTTGATATGCTTGAGTAAGACGAGACAAGAAGTGGCAAGTGCTAGACACCAGCTGCAGCCGACACAGATTGCATGTTCAAACTGTGTGTGTGTGTGTTTACTTGTTTGCTTGCTCGATTGCTTGTTTGCTGGATTGTTGGTTTGCCGCTTTGCTTGCTTGTTTGCATTTCTTTGGTTGTTTGTTTGTTAAGGCGTTTGTTTGTGTACTGTTTTGCGTTGGTCTGCCTACCTGTTTGTTTCTGCTGGGCTGGATGGCTGGCTGGCTGGCTGGCTGGCTGGCTGGCTGGCTGGCTGGCTGGTTGCCAACCTTGTTTTTTGTTTTTTTGCTCTTTATTTCTGTCTTTGTTTCCTTCGTTTTTAGTCCTTCCTTCCTTTTTTTTTTTGTTTACTTGTTTCTTTATGCATTCCTTTGTGTATGTATTTATGTCTTTCTTTGATGTCGTTCTTTGTCGTTCTTTGTCTGTTTGTTCTGTTTGGTTGGTTTGTCAGTGTTTTTGTTGCTTGACTGTTTGTTTTGTTTGTTTGGTTGGTTGGTTGATTGTTTGTTTGTCTGTCTCTCTCCCTGTCTGCCTGTCTGTCCTGTCTGTCCTGTCTTTCCTGTCTGTCTGTCTGTGTGGCTGCCTGTGTATATGCGGTTTTTGCTTGTTTTTGTTTGTTGTGGTTTGGTTTGGCTTGATGGTTTGGTTTGGCTTGATGGTTTGTTTGCTTGTTCTGTTTGCTTTTTGTGTGTGTGCGGTGTAGCTTTGCTCGTTTGAACTTATTGTTATTTTTCCCCCAGATCTTCACTCACTGCCCCAGGCACCCTGGCCTTGCCTTCCGGTGTCTTGGCCTTGCCCTCCGCAGCAACGGAGAATCCTGAAACGGTGCCTGTGGGCATCATGGCCTCCATGCTGCGCCAAGTGTCCAGGCGTGGCAAGGACAGGGATGCATGGGGCTAAAGTGCGGGTGCAGGTTCTGCCGATTTTACGGCGAGCTCACTGATTGGGGTGCAATATTTGTCTCACCAAGCTATAGGGCTTTTGTTGGGAGATCCTCTTTTTTGGGCTGTGGATCCGTGATGCATGGAGCATGTCTATGTTGGAGGAGGGGGTTGAATCCTGTGAATCCTGTTGGTAGGCTGATGCGAAAATACCGTCGACGGGATCGTTTTTGTTGTTTTAAGTTTACTAGGACTTTGGAAAGTGTGTGGGAACCCGTTCCAAATTTCTCCTCACAAGCCGGGAAGGGGGCTGACAGGCTGAGTTTTTCAAATGTGGGTGCATCCGTCAAAAGCCACAAGTCGGCTTCGGTTTTTCTTTAGTTTATCCTGCCTGTGCTCGCAATTTCTCCAATCTGCTTTTAGGCTCGTGGCTGACATGCTTCGATCTTCCTTAGAGATTTAGAGGCGAACGCTGCAGCGTGATGAAAGTGAGCAAGCTACGCTTAGCAGCCGCAAGGCCTCATATCAAACTCTGGGCTCCCACATGCCTTCAGGAGACAGATTTGGATCTCCCCCCAGAAAGGAACCCTTCCAAGAGTCAATACGATTTGTTCAGAACCCGAAAGAGGACAGAGTTTTTTGGGCTGTTCTGGCCCTTGAGGACCTGCACGCCGCCTGGGTGCCCTATCGACCGCTGGACCCCTTCTACACGCCCCAGGTCCATCCCCCCACCCCGGCGCCGGGCGCCCGCTTGCTGGAGCGCCTCGCGCAATACTACCGGAAGGCCGGGTGACATGTCGGGCTTCCCACATTTGCAATGGCGTGGAATTACCAGGCCCAAAGAGTTGGTTCCTTTCCTGCCCCGTGGATTTGCCCGGGATCTGGGTGGACGGGAAATCATGTAGGGGGCTGCAAAAGTTTCGAGACCGCCGAGGCGCTGGGCGCGGGGAGCGTTTGTTTGCCTGAGGATGTCAAAGGAAACGCGCGACGCTGGAGAAGCAATGTTAAGCACAGATGGCGAAGCCCAAATGCTTCGTGAGCAGTGAAGACATTGACATCGACAGGGTAACATGGTGGAAGAAGGCTGCGCATGCAGACTTCCTGCTTCAAATGACCTTAATAGTATGGACGGTCATGCATGACACGAATTGGATTGTGTAAATCTTTGGATGCAACGGCAGATAGAGAGAGAGAGAGAGCAGGAAATCACAGCTTGCGCGGAAATTCACTTGTCTGAACCCATTTTAGGTCAGCCAAATACACTCTGTGTTTGAGTCCTTGCGTCGGCGTCCAACTTTGCGCAGGTTGGCGACTCTGCGAAGATGCCGAAGGCGGAGCCAAAGGCGGAGCCAAAGGCGGAGCCAAAGGCAGAGCCAGAGCCTTCAGAGCTGAAGGAGCGAAGCCGGAGCCGCAGCCGGGGCCGAGCGTTTGGTGCCGTACCGCCACCCCTGGACTGAGGTGTGGGCAGATTTTAAGCCCCCAACCGGTTCGGAAAGGACGCCCGTGCAAACAACAAATTTCAGGGGGGGGGGGGACCACAAGGCAAAACAGAGGAGGCCCCCGCTGTGAGTCTCTTCTTCGTGCTTGAACATTCTGCAGAAACGGGAAATCAACTGGCGATTCTGGGCCCTAAGTGGTTGCTTCTGCAACAGCGGGCGCAAATCATATGTTCGCTTCGCTTTGCTTCACTGTTTTGGTTGAGCTGCCTGTTGCCGGTGGAAGAAGGAAACGGGGTCCGATGGCTGAACTCATTGCGTGTCCCTGAAAGGTGGGCGCATTTGCTCGCCTGAGTTGAGCAAAGTAGTTGCAGCTCTGCTGCCACCAAAGGGGTCGCAGAGGGTTGCATTTGGAGAGTCGCTTACTCGCAAGAAAAGGCGTTTCTCCGGGCAGGATGGGATACTGACTTACACCATGCCACATGCACACTTCGTTCCTAAGGTCACCCGCGTGTCGCAGCAACTCACCGAGCACGCCAACGATACCAGCAGGCCTGCAGCGTCGGGATTTTGCCAGACAGCGCTGTTCTGCTCTGGGAAGCCGTGTTTTGAAGGGCCGGCAGCAGAGGCCTGCTTCCCTCTCACTCCGAGCGCAACTTGAAAGAAGAACAATTCTGCACCAACAGCCGTCAGCGGCAGTGCAACCCCCCACACTGTTTGCAGCTGCAACCCGTAGCGCTTGCCTGGAGCTTCCTCAATTCAAGATTCCTTGGCAAACAAGGGGCTGACTGCTGCTGCTTTTTGGTCGGTCTTGCTGTTGTCATGGGGATGGTATTTCGAAAGCTGCCACTTATCGGTCCATCATGCATCCGCCCTGAAGTTCTAAAGCGGAGTGGGCCCAACGATTTGTAGCGGACGCCCGGGAAGGTCTTTGGGCTCTTTGGAGACCCAGCTGGGCCGAGTGGCCATTGAGCTCCATAGCGCCCAGCAGAGCGTGCAGGCAGCACTGCAGGCGCCTTTTTTGGGTGTCTCGAAATGGGGGAAGAACCGAAATGGTTGGGCTCCTGTAGGTTTCTATTTCAAAACCAGGCAAAAGAAGGTCCTCCAAAAGATGCCACTCGCTTTGAGATGCGAGTTGCTTGGAGGTAGGGTTTGGCAAAGTTGACTCTGAAACAACATCATCAAGTTTTCAAGCGTGCTCGGTCGAAGAGCTTCACCCTGCTATGCTTAAAGTGATCAGTGGATGGTTTGGGCAAGTTTGCAATGGCACGTGTTTGTTCATTGTTTTGGTATATAAGGCGTCATCTGATGCAACTCTCAAAGGACTTCTGAGTAGCAGGTGCGCAGCCTAATTTCCGGCGTCAGTCTCAGGCGAGACTCAAAACATGCAAAGCCTAAGTTGGGAAGGAGTTTCAAGCCCTGAATAATTTGTATCGTGTTTAAAGTCGCCCTGCTTTGCCATGCCCTGATTTCTTTGAATATGTGCGGTCTCAGAAAACATGGTAGATTTTAGGGTCGGCTAAATACAATGACAAGAATTTGGCCCGGGCTTCTGGACCTCGTGGAGTCGCGGCCAGGGCCTGTCCCAGTCCATCCGCCAGCAGCGCAGCGAGGATTTGGCCCGCCGGGCCCGCGTGGCACAGCGGCAGCTGGCAGAGGAGATGGACGCCTGGCGAGCGGTTTTCCGAAGGATTCAGAACAACTTAGTAAAGTTCAGGGGTTTATTGATCCATTACTTTATTGATTCAGTTCAGAAATCACCTGTCCTAGCTGACTTAGGGGAGTTGCTTGAAGAGGTGACTTTGGGATTTGGGACCTTGGAACCCTGAAAGGACATTGGCAGACTCAACGATCAGAGCTGAATTGCCTGTAGGAGAGGGGGTAACCCACCCGTTTGCCTGAGTTTTTGATTTTATGGCGGGAAATGGCAAATGTCAGAGTGAACCCAAAGAGGAAGCAGACCTCTTTTTGTACCCTCATCCTTCGAGCATGTAAGTCTTGAGGACTTAGGGTCCATTGGCAAGGACCCATTTTGCATTTTCCAAAAGGCTCCCGGGACTCAGGAAGTCTATCTAGCCCGCCCTAGCGCGGCTCACGCCCAGCTGGTGCGGGAAGGCAAGCCTCGGTTTCCAGAGAGCTGTGAGGGCGCACCCTGGCAGTTGTACCCCCCTTTAAAAGAGAACAACACAAAACAACACACTGTGTCACCATGCCCCCTTTTTGCCATAATATGGCTGTATACGTGCCGGGTATAGTTTGGAGGCATTGGCGCCTAGCCCTCAAGGCCAAGTGACGCAGCATGTAGCGACATTCAGAACAAACGGATGCGCCAGATTGGCAAAGAACCTCCTTGACCTTGGTGTGGTCTTGTTTTTGCTTAGATGTCCCTGAGCTACCAGAGACGATAGATGTTAGTTTGCTCCGCCTTTGAATCGCTTTGCGGAAGGCGCTCGCGAACTTCGGCGTGCTGCTGCAGAGATCATTGAGCTGATTCGGGAGGAGCAGGTCGGAAGCACCTGAGAGGTTACGGCTGAGCATCATACCTCGCTTTGCGTTTAGCTTCACCGACAGACCTCAACGGTTTCTGACTTCAACAGCCGAAGAAGTAGCACATTGACTTGCCCCGTATCTATTGGGCAAAAAGGGGGCCCTTGTTTGTTGGTTCAAACAGGTGCATCCCCCTGGGCAACTGGGATGAATCATTCAGGGACCCCACTAATGCCTAGCGAGGCGTTGGTTTGGCTGTGCCACGCTTCCTGCACAGGGGGGCTGGATCATGCACTATGAAGTGGTCAGAGGTCAATGGAACATAAGATGCCACATCACATGCGGGGCATGCTGTCAGAAGCTGCGACAGGATGCGGAACCGGCAGAACTGGCAAGGCTTTGGCTGGTGGCGCTGTCAGCACACCGCCTTGCTGCTGAGCTGTGTTGAGATCCTGTGTTTTTCTCATGAGATGGTTCTAATCAAAACAAGCTAGGTAAGTTTGGCTTAAGAAACCTGCCATAGTGGTTTGCCATCGAAACACCGCATGCATGTGCACGCCACTCCGTCAGGTTTGTGGTTCTTTGCACATGCGCCTCACCTCATATTAGAGAGGCGCACAAAGCAGCGAGTGCACAAAGGAGTGCAAGAGGTTGACGAATTGTTCATTTGTCTCAAAATGTTGTCTTCCCTGGGAAGGCGAAGCCGCTTCGGCGCGACTCGCGACTCGCGTCTCGCCGAGCCTAGGCCTTGTGGTCGGTGGCCATGGCCGACAGTGAAAACGCGGCTTTGAGGGCAGCACAGGCGAGTGAGCCCTCCCATAGACAGGTGGAGAGACTGCTCTCTGGCTTCTCGGTCCACTTCCATCGAAAAGAGGCGGATGTTTGAAGCTGACATGAACAGTACCACCAGCCACTAAAACGGGGCGGGTCCGGGTGGGGTTGGGCGGGGGGTCTCTCAGATCTCGGGTCTGGCTTGGGCTGGGTTTGCCAATTCTAATGTAATGGAGAACTGCTTGCGCAGAATTAGGAAGCAGCTCTGAATTCGGAAACAGTTTTTTTTTCATGATAGCGACCCCGGAAAACCACACTTTTGCAAAAGGTCCTGAACTTCAGAGTTTTCACGCACATGAGAACGCGCTGCAGTAAAGGACGCCAAGCATTGCTCAGACGTCGAAGGTTGCCAAGGAGTATGGGGTGGGGTACTGTACTTTTTCGTTGTTAAGTGGATGCGGAGATCGCAAACTTCTGATTTCAATGGTAGCATGTGTGCAGGGTCCAACCCCTCAAGGATTGCCATGATCTCGTTTGAATGTCAGCGAAGGTGTGCAGGTTGATGAAGGTTGTTCTGCGCTACCTGGATTGCCTGTAGAGCCTTCACACAGGAAAGCTGAATGTTTCACCAGCCCTTTGACTTTGTTTATTGACTACGATTGATTCTGGCTGCTGCGGAGCGGGAACCTTTTCTTTGCTTTGGTTGCCTTCGTGCTCACTTGGTTGAATGTAGGATTGCTTTCTGGCTTTTTGTTGCAGGGTCCCAGCAAATTCTAGAGCTGAAATGAGTAAGTGTGCCATTCAGCGGCATGGTTGGTCTGCACCTGCAAACCTGGTTTTAGCCTGCCCAGCTCACGCCTCACGTGCTCGGGTGCCAGGCTTTGTCGCACGTCGCGCCGCTGCTGGGCCGCTTCTTCTGGCTTCACGTGGCTTCAGGCCGGGCTTGGGGTGTGCTAAATGGTTCCCCTCTTCGCACGAGCGCGGTGCGACCCACGGATGCACACCGCACCTCACATGTAGGTGACATGCCACAAATCAGATGGGTTGGCCTCAAAATTCGGATATGGACCACCAAAATGGTGACGTTCGTTTGCCCCAAGAAAAGGATTGTCTCCCCCCCCCCCAAACAAATATATAAAAAAAACAAAAAACAAACAAACAAACAGACAAAAGCCCAAAATATAAAACAAGGCATCCTGTTAGAGTCCTGGATGTCATGCATGTGGAGGCGTCAATGTTAAATCCAGTATGCAGTTTTGGGGGTCCAGATTCTTGTGCAGGCCAGGAAACCTGGCTACAAGACCTGGAGCAGAACCGAGTCTTGACACTGAACTGAGGCTTTGGGTGATTCTGCCCAGGTAATTGGCACGTTTTTTGTTGCTTTTTGTCCAAACTTAAACTGATAGCATATTCCCCCTGCGTGTTTTCCATTTGTGGCTTATGGGTACAAAAGATCAGACATGTATCGCCGCCTTTGGTGCTTGGAGTTTCAAAGTTGCCAATGTGCCCTCCCTGAAGCCCAGAATCTTCAAGCCCTAAGCGCTTTTCCTTGTTTGGTCAATCCAAAGGACGCGTCTCTCTTTTTCTTCCATCACTGGGGCGATTGGGGAGCTGGCGACCAGACAGCTGAATGAGCTGGGCTCCAAATTGCCCATGTTTTGAAACGCAGCAATAACAGATAAATATGGTCTTCCTCATTTGGTGTTCCTTTGTCTTTGAAAGAAACCCCCAGAAAGGCTTCTCTTTGAAACAACTGTCATTGCTCGTATTCCACCCATTGGGGTTGGCGTCCCTTCAAAAGAGCCCTAAACTCAAAAAGGGGCACCCTCAAAACACGAAGCTCTCCGCTTTTCGCGCCCGAGGGGAGCAATTCTTGGCGGTGGCCCTGACTTTGGCGTCCAGTGCGGCCGAGAACTCCTTGAGACTAGAGCTGCTCGCATTAGGGCGGATAGTCAGGTTGTCTACCAGCGCTAGCTGCGAGCCCCTTGAATTGGGCCCCTCCGAAAGGGAACCGTGCGAGGGGCCCTATGTTGAGGGGTACACCTACGGGGCGGAACACGTACACATCATAATTCATGTACAGATTATATACATATATTAATATATACACATACGATGATGTATGCAGATTCTGCGGCCAGTTTTTGCGAGGTGTCTGCACAGGGCTCAGGGTGGGCTGGCGCAAATGGCTGTGGCCAAGTCTTCAAGCTGGGTTTGCGCATTTCGATGCTTGTGGGTGAGAGGGTCAGTCCCACAGCCTCTGACAAACCGGTGGTCCATTTCCTGGAAAGCAGGCCTGAGGCCTGCATTCCTGAACAAGCGACGACGTGTGGCATCAAGGCGTTATTGGGGTTGAGTCGAAATTCGGGGACCCCTCCAACCTGGCAAAACGCTCATTTTGCCGGTGCCACAGCGTTCCATGCACGTGCCATGCAAACATTTATGCACGTGTATTCATACATTGTCATATGTATATATATATATATATACATATATATATATATGCACATGTTACATGTTGCAAGTACATGCAACGTCCAGTAGATCCCTTGAACACAGAATGGTGAATCAAAAAGTCACGTTGTGAGCAGTTATGGCGTCCAACCAATTTAGAGAGTTAGGTACGAATCAATTGCAGTTTCCTGTGAATTTATTAACATATGTGCGTGGGCTGATTTGCGGGCCCCCCTTTCAGCTTGTTTTGATGGCAAACCAAAGGACACCCTTGGTTAAGGGAACCCACATGATCCAATTCCTGTGTCAACCACGCAGTTGCACCTGTTGCAACCAAGGCCGGAGAGTCAGCTTTACACCTGCCTCGGCTTGGACCCCGGGACGGGCAACCTGCACGCAAACTTCCCCCAGCTATGTGTGAATGTGTTTGTTGGTGTGTCTTTGTGTTTGCGTCTCGTGTCTTTGTGTCAGTGTGTCTCTGTGCCTCTGAGTCTCGGTGTTACATGCATGTTTGTGTGTGTTTTGTTTGTCTGACGGTCGGTCGGTCGGTTGGTCGGTCTGTTTGTCTGTCTGTCTGTCTGTCTGTCTGCCTGCCTGCCTGCCTGCCTGCCTGCCTGCCTGCCTGTCTGTGTGTCTGTCTGTCTGTCTGTGTGTCTGTGTGTCTGTGTGTCTGTGTGTCTGTGTGTCTGTTTGTCTGTGTATGTGTGTTTTGTTGTTTGTTTGTTTGTTTGTTTGTTTGTGTGTGCGCGGGGCTTGCGGCACGATTTGCTCTTTTGGCTTGGTGGCATTTGGAATCATTTGATCATTTGGATGGTGCTGGCTGCAGGCACTGGGTGGAAGCAGGGACCAACGTCTTTGCCACGCGAGTAGCGTTCGGCAGGAGCTCCGAGATCCGCGTGTCCTTGGCCCTGCATTTCTTGGCGGACCCCACGGTGGAGTGCAAGGCCTGGACGCCGCACAGCCTGCGCCATAGGTCAGGACATGTTCATCGTAAGATCATCAGACAGACACGAAGAACCGCCAGAGCTAGTTGTCGCAACGCTGTTTGGGAGGTGTCGAAAGGAGCCACTCTGTCAGCTTCAAACGGGTTTAGAGAATGATTGGCTGGAGCCCGCCGGAGCTGCGCCCAATTCTTGGACTCAATCGTACGGGCTCGTGGCCAAGAATTCCTAACAACCTCAGTGTGGAGCTTATTTTGTTCTTCCTTTATGCATTCTTCTATGGAAAGGCATCAAAATCTCGGTCCGCCCACCATCGCAGTTGTAGGACTGGGCAAAACCATTTGAGACTCCTACACGAATTAGTTTGCTGAGCCGTCGCTAGATCACGCCCGCGGCGCGGCACTGGCTGACCCGCGGCAGCCTGGCAAAGGTGTCCAGGGGTGGCGGCTTGCAGTGGCTCACGTCCGTCAAGTTATCCAGGCCATACTTAACCTGACGTTGAAACATAAAACGCAGAGGCCATTGAGAGAACAGAGAGGACCGGATGATGCAAAGGGCTGGACTGAGGCTGTACGTGTAGCTGTGCGTCCACGGGCGACAAGGGAGCTTGCACGCGTGTGTGGGTGAGTCTCTCAGTGCTTGCGTGGGTGCGCAGGGGGTTCCATTGGTGTTTGTGTCCGTGTCATTTGCTGTGGAAGAAGAGCTTCAACAGCTTCAGAGTTGCAAGAATTGCATGTCAGCAGCTGTGCTGTTGACACTGCTTGCTGTCCATCAGTTTGGGGAGCTTATGGCAGAATCGTGTGTAGGGAGCTCCCACTAGCATGCACGTGCCGTGGGTTTCTAGCGGACCGCAGTTCGTAATTGTGACATACGCTTTTTGAGCCGGTGTTGTCAGCAGGCACTGGATTCTGTTGTAGGGGAACCGGCTCACCTGTTGACTCACTGCCAATATCTCTGCAAGACCCTTGGCCGTGCCAAGCTGGCACGAGGTTTATAAATACATTCTGCCATACAAAGCTGCCCCCCCCCCCCCCCGCCACACAAGCCACAAGCCGGGGCGTCCATGGCCCGAATTTGGCGTTGAGGTTCGGATGCTAACTCGCAGTTCCTGTCTGGCCTTGCCGCGCTCCTGCCTGGTGGGGACCTCCAGCTCGCTGCAGATCAGTGGAATGGCCCCCTGGCATGGCCTCCCAGTCATGTGGATCCTCAAATGGGCGGTTTCCACGTGGTTTCCCTTTGAAACAACCCAACAACAAACAGGGTATCCTCAAAAGAAGGGCACAATTATATGGGCCCGCCCGGCGCGTTCAAAGTCGACATAGGTTGGATGGGTGAGAATCGGCGCTTGCGGTGTTGAGTGATGGTTGCAGCTGATCTATAGCGCTGGTTACCATACATTATGCCATTGATCGTGATCCCTCGTGCTGTTGCAACTGAGACCGGTGGAACACTGGGCATTGTGCGGCGAAAGCCAGTGACTGACTGGGCGGCGATTGAACAGTTCAAGCAAGTTGTTTCCTTAACCTTGGTCAACCGAGCTTGGACATCATGATGGTGGCCGCTTATGGATCCCTTGATTCAGGTTGGCGAAGTATGGGCATGTTATTCGCCACCATAAACTCATAAACGCCATGAATGGCAGTTTGCTTTGCTGCTCTTTGCCGAGGCTTGGCTCTTGAAGGATTCGATTTGGTGGCCAGCCTACGGGCACTGCCTGTGCCGGCGGACCTATGGAGCGCCCTGGCCAGCCGAAAGCAGATCAAAACGAGTTGGGCCACAGGGCACTTGTTAGGCGGGAAACATGTGGCTCGGAATCGTCCCCTGCAAGAATGGCTGATTTCAGCAGTGGAATCCTTCTTCGTATTCTCAGTTTGACTAGGTTAAGTACTGCGTCCATATACAAACCCTTAGTATGACCCCCCCCCCCCCCCCAGATTGTGGGACAACTACCACTGATCAGCGACACTGTTGACAAGGCACCCAAAGGAGCCGTATTGTACTCCTTTTGCTGCTGCCATGTGCGAGCGCGGGGGTAACAGAGTTGGTAGCTGATTTACTTGCGGTGTTTGGGCGGGCATGCACGGAAAGCCTGCTTTGACACTGGACACTGTCTAGTGTTTTGCGTTTCATACCACCTGCATGAGTTTGCTAGACCGAAGCTTCAAGTGGCCCCTTTCAACCATGGTGGACAAACTGAGCCCAAGTCCATATACGGATCCCTGTTTCTGCCCTAGCACGCGCGTGCCCCCAACATGGTTATACATCAGTGCTGTACCGGCACGTGGTTCGGCAACTAAGATAGGTGCATCCACCAAATCCAAGCGCGACACTGTGCTACACCTTCAGGAGAGTGGCCATCGTTGTGTTCAACTTCGCCTTCAGGGCCACTTTCTGCGACACGAATCCCTTTCGTGACAAAGTGGTCCTCAAAATCACTTTTGATATCAGTGCGATTTTCCACCAGTGACAAAGTAGTCAACCATCGAATCAACCACTTGATATCAATCGCGAATTGCGGCCATTTTCCACGTGGCATGCCGTTGGGCGCTTCAACTTCGGACTTTTTGCCTCGGTTTCTGGGGCTAGGCGCCTTGGCGGGCGTCTGCCAGCCCCGCGCCCCGCTGGCCGCGGCGCTGCTTGCGTGCCGGCGCCTGCCGGCACCGGCGAACCAGCAGCTGCAGGCGGTCCAGTGGGTGTTAGGGCGGGGGTCTCCAAAGACATGGTAGACTAAGTATGAAGCATACTCACACAATCTCTTTTTTTTTGTGCATCCCAGATGTGGGCCAGGAGGGGGTACCCTTGTTCGGGTAGTTTCCAAGGGAAACTAAAATGACGACCGTCATTTTGGGGTTGAGCCTATTTTGAGACATGGACAAATCCACGCCACGCACCGGTTGGGCTCGGTGATGCGTCCCAGTCTTCATAGGGCTCCACCCACCTTAACCGGTGCAAAGTGGGTTTTGTCCACCCACCGTGCTTATCACTGATAATATCAGGCATTATCAACTGAACTGTCAACATCTGCCCAAGCGCAAGCGTTCGTGGCTCGCTGCGATGCGCAGACGTGGCTGCGACAAGTTGTCTCCCTGGACCACCTTCAAGGCAGGGTTGTCCAGCCTGTGAAGCACCCCCTCCGCGGCGCCACTTCAGGGGGACAGTGGGCAACTTGTCAATTTCTTTTCCTAGCGGTTTTCGCATGTCCCAACCAAACCAGTTGGGGACGTGTTCTTTGAGTTAATGCGAAACTGGATTGAATTTGCCTTGATTGATCGGCTGATCTTAGCTAGGTTCTTGGCAGTGGTTGTTTCTTAACTCGGCATGGGAAAATTGCATGAGACACAAACCTGGCCCGTCCCTTTGCATCGGTTTGTGGTCCTCGGTGTTTTCCTGTGAGCTTGGCTTACTCACTGTCAGGATCCTCGTCAGCGGTCTTGCAGCAGATGTCGCACGCTCTTGCACATGACAGCCGCGATGTCGAGGACATGGGCTGTGCCACTCAGATCATTGGTTGAGGGCTGGCAAAGCCGCATTCCCGCCCCAGTTCGGAGGGGGTCACAGGTACATTCAATATCCGCAAACCAGCACAAACACAAGTTTGCCATAGAGCTTGGGTTTGTTTTGCCAGCACATTTCAGGATATTGTCTATCTATATTTCATAGACATATATAAACAACTTGAATTGTCATGGTCACAAAGTCTTGTAAATTTGTTTTATTCATATCAACATTTGGGCTGATCTCCAAATGACGGAGTCCTCAAACTGGACTAGCCCAGAAACCCTCAACCATTTTGGAGTTGTTTGTGGACGCCAAAGGGGAGAGCCCAGAGCCCCTGAGTCGCTAGGACCTGCTGGGCCGCTCCAGAGAGCTCTTCTACGATCTGGCGGCCATGGCGCAGCGCTTTGGCCGGTTTCGGTTTGGGGGTGACGGGTGAAGGGGCGTGAATGGGGCATAGGGTATGGTACCTGTTTGGAGCGCTCTAGGGAAAAGGGGAAAGCCGCCCATGTTGTGGGGATTCCCATTTTTAAGAAGCAGCAGGGATGTTGGTGTTCATACTCTCCCACCCATGTTGCCATTCATCCCACCCATGTTGCCATTCAACATGCCGTATATGATAAGTGCGATATTGTAGTTTTAGGAGCTTATGTCCTGGCTAATCCCAAAAAGGATACCCGCCCAGCACCAGCTCAGTGGCTTCAAGTCATGAGCGCGGCGGCTTGATCAAATGCTCAGGCTGGCCCACCAGGGGCCGGCGCAGTTTGCCATCCGCCAGCTTTGCGATGCTCTTGACGAAGACCTGGAGGCGCTGAACCGGGAAGAGCGCTTTGTTGTCTTCAGCGGCTTGGTGTCGCCCACGCCGCAAGCAGTTCGAGTCGCTTTCACTTGGGTTTAGAAGCGTTGGATGGTCTTCCCTCCTTTGCTGGAACCAGTTATCCGGCTACTTAAAGCTTGGTAGAAGGGTTGGTTTGGTGGGAAACAGCAAGCTCGCACAGACTTTGGCTAAGCCCCTCAGGAACTTTAGTTCATATGGAGGTTGGAATTGGATGGTGTTCATGTTGTTTGTTTCACGAACCCTGGGAGCGTAATGGTGGTGCGTGCAATTAAATTGTGCCATTCACCTGCTGCATTTGTCAAAATTCGATACTTGGGGTTTCCTCTTGTTCAGCCTGTGAATCAGAATGATCAGTTTGCCCAGATGCATGTTGGCCGTGTTGGCCAAGGTCTGCAGGAAAAACCAGCCTGATCAACTCTATTCTGCTCCAGTTGCTTCCGTTGCAGGACCGGCAGCGGCATGGAGCACTGTGCATAAGATTACGTCTGTGAGCTCCGCGCAATTCACTTGCACAAGCCGGGGCCTTTTCCCTACAATTCCATACTGTTGGACCAACTTTTGCGAGTTTCCTTTGCTGTGATCTTTGAGGGGGGGCAAAGGAAGCCTTGTTGCTTGTGTCCCTGCTTCAACCCCGCAGGAGCTCAAGGAGGATGCCAGTGGACGCAGGAATTTGATGCCTACCTCCTTCAGCGAAAACACCCGAGGCTTGGACGGGCATGGTATTTCCCTGCGGCCTGCTTCTGTTTGTCAGGAGGTCCCCATCCCTTCAAATGGAATTGGAGGAGGGGATGAGCCACCTGGAATTCGGTGCCACCTGACTTCGCCTTTCTTGAGCCAACTCAATTTCGGGCGTCGAAGTCCGGCCTGTGGTCTTTCCGCATGTCTTGGTTCGTTTTTGGCTTCCCTGCCTCTCAGCCCTACAGCTTTGCTTTAGCCGAGGAATCGTGACGCAGCTGGAGCTGTGCCCCGAGGCGGAGCACATCGAAGTGCGACTTCTGGAGAAGGTCTGCCAACCAGTTCCTGGGATCAAAAGGGTGGTTTCCAGTGCAAACTTCAGAGCGACTAAGATGACATGGTTGGTCCTATTTTGGTGGTCCGAGCCGCCTTGTAGGCTTGGGAGCTAGAGGATTGGCCGTAGAATCTTCAAAAGGTCGGAGTTTTGTTTGGCTCGGGGGTAAGGGAATCGGTGTTTTTTGTTTTACTAGCCCCGGCTCGGGGCTTAACCCCGGCTCGGAGACTGGTTGGTTGGTTGGTTGGTTGGTTGGTTGGTTGGTTGGTTGGTTGGTTGGTTGGTTGGTTGGTTGGTTGGTTGGTTGGTTGGTTGGTTGTTGGTTGGTTGGTTGGTTGGTTGGTTGGTTGTGCGAAAGTACACCATGCATTCCCACTTGGATGTAATTCATACTGATTACCATTGCATGGCTCAAGATGACAAAGGTGCATTTGCTGCCTTGGTTGATTAGCAGAGATTAGTCTCTGATTTTCCCATGGTAGCGGAGCTCGAAGATTCAGGAGACCTTAGGGAAACCTGATTCTGAGAGCTGCCATGGCACTCGGACAAGATGAGGATTTTGCAGGAAAGCTAAGACTTCCCATGCCAGGGAAATTCACTGGCAAGCCAGAGGACTGGGAAGATTGGAGCTGGGATTTCAGGACATATTTGAGCATGTTCCTGCCAGATTCAACAACGATTATGGACCGCATTGAGGCCAACGCAGACACACCCATTGAGGACGCGCATTTGAATGTAGCGGGTAACCAGGATGCCACAGACAGAAGGATTCAGAATTCCCGAAGGCTGCATTATTTGTTAGCAAATTTGTGCAGTGATTCAGCAAGGCTGGTAGTCAGGCAGAACATTGGCTGCAATGGTTATGAAACCTGGAGGAGATTGTATTCCAAATTTGCATTGCCGGACGCAACACGGCACATGAGTTTACTTAGCCAGATTTTGGAATTCAAGTTTCACTCCAATACATTTGAACAAGATTTCAACACCTGGGAGACCATTAAGGCCAGATATGAATCTCAAACCGGCCAAGCCATTCCTGATAGCATTCTGGTGGCTACCCTCTTGAACAAGACAACAGGCCCATTGCAACAGCATTTGAGGCTCAATGCTTCGGCATTGTTGACCTATGAACAAACACGAAACGTGATTGTGCAGTACCACCATTCCAGGCACATTCTTAGGAACATGCCGGGGAATGACAACCAAGGACCAGCACCCATGGACATTGGGGCGCTGAAAAGATTCAAAGGAAAAGGCAAAGGCAAAGGATTCAAAGGATTCAAAGGAGCCAAAGGACCACATTGGTCATACAACAAAGGAGCATTCAGCAAAGGAAAAGGAAAAGGAAAGGATTTCAAAGGCAAAGGCAAAGGAAAGGACCCAAAAGGAAAAGGAAAGGATTCCAAAGGAAAAGGAAAAGGGTCGATTGCAACCTGCTGGATTTGCGGCTCTCGCGGCCACATTTCCAGAACATGTCCGCAGAGAGCTGTGAGCGGAGTGATTGAGGAAGATTGGAATGAAGAATGGTCCGAAGAGCCCTGGCCTGATTCGTCGTGGCCTGATGGCTCATGGGACATTGCTGGATTGAGTTGGGATGAAGGAGAAGATTGGTCCTGGGATTCGTCTTGGGGATCATGGGATTCTGTGAACTCTTGGGACCACCCTTGGGATTGGTTTCAGGACAGTCAGATTCCAGAGCCTCCTGCTGGATGCGATTCTGCCGCGTTTTCATCGGCAGGACCACCCCCAGCAGGAGATTCACAGCAAGGAACCATTGGAGCAGTGACACAGGTGCCGCCGGGATTGAGTCCAAACATTGGCTCAACTCCCATTCGGCCAAAGGCCAAGCCAAAGGCCTCATCATTTTTGATTGCTGCACTTGTCATGAATTCGGTCACCTCAGGATCATCCTTTCAGATTCCTGCCACTCGTGGCAGTCCGTCTGAGGGTGAAGGTGAAAGTTGGATGACATTTGGAGAGCATGAAAGATTGTTTAAGTCGATGTATTGCTTGGACACTGGATTGGATAGCATGCCATGTTTGAGTGCCGGATTGATTGCCCCTGTTCCCGGACAAGACTTGTTAGATTGGTATGATGAACCAACCCCAGTGAAGGATTCTTTTCATTTCGTGACCACCTTGAAGGACTGCGGCTTGGATCACTTGAATTCGAAGTTTGTTGACACATTCTTGCATGAACAGTTGATTTCAGCAGTCGAGGATTCCACCCCGTGGATTCTATTTGATTCAGGAGCATCTGCCCATTGCTGTCCGCCAGACTTTGGTGAACAATGGCCATTGCTTCCATTAAATGGAAATGGCCCACCATTGAAGAGTGTCACAGGACAGCCATTGAACATGTATGGGAGAAGATTGGTTGGCTTGAACTTGGATGGACAAGATTGCTTCATGAATTTTTATGTTTGTGACGTGCCTTATCCGATTGTGTCGGTTGCACGATTGCTGCTGCAGGGATTCCGCGTAGCATTGGATGGACCAGACTCATTGGGATTGTTTATGCCCAATGGTAAGGTAGTGAGTATTCACCGAAAAGGCTCACTGCTTTTCCTAGGTCCGAACATTCTTCCATTTGACAAACCCCGATTTGAAGAAGTGTGTCAAGAGTTTCATTCCAAGTTTGGTTCAGATTCTTCAGGGACCATAGCACCCACATTTAAGCCCACCATTTACCACAACGACAGTTGGGAACTTGATCCGCAACGCGCTGTGCTGATTCGACATCACAAGCGCGCAAGGCGTGCGTTATTCACGCCAGGTGGCACCAAGGACAGGCCCATTCCTGTGGAAGATGTGGCGTCCAGACGCACAACTTACGTCCGATTCGAAGATGGACGTGAGGAGACCATCGCCGACAATTGGCGGACGATAGATTCTCCGCAACGGGCGTTGGATCAGTACTGGATGGGAAGGACAGAATTCCCGTTGCAATCCTTGCCGACGGCAAGACGATTGACGGGGAAGCAATCCACAATTGCAAGACCTCCCATTCAGGAAGCGTCAGTGCCAGCAAAGAAACCGCATTTGAAAGCGCAACCGTCTGCTGACATTGGCCAGGATGATTATTCCCGGTCAGTGAAGGAGCTGACGACGGGAGAATTGGAAGAAGCAAAGGAAATTGTGGAACGGCGATTGTGCATGAGTGACCCGGAGACAGGAGGACCATTCGGACATGATGAATGGTACCTCACACCCAAGTTTGACATTAGGATACACCATGAGTGGAGGAATTGTCTGTATGTGCCAGATGAGACCGATTCGGCCGCTCCCTCCAAGGAATTGCTGGGGAACGAGAGGCACACATTGGCTGTGTTCCTCAACGGGAGACTCCAGTGGATTCACGACCACTGGGCTGACCCAGAGGCTGCTGCTACGGAATTTCCTGAGCCATTCAAAGGCGCGACGATTTTTCGTCGGCAGTCTCAGCAATTCTTGGAAGAGAGCAACCCGGACATTCCGGAAATGTCGGCTCAACGGCCAAAGGGATTGTACGTTCCCAAACAGCCGACGGACGATGAGATTCGTGAACATGAGTTGACTCATCTGCCATTCAGATCATGGTGTGAGATTTGCGTCAGGTCGAAGAGCAAGCAAAACCAGAGTCGTGCCATTTCGGTGCGGCAACCTGTGATTCAGGTGGATTACGCCTTTATGGGTGATTCACAAAGTGACACACAGGTGACATTGCTCACGGCCACTGATGTACTGAGTGGAATGGGATTGGCGTGCGTTGTTCCGTCCAAAGGACGCATTGTGTATGCGCAAGCAGAGTTGAGGAAATTCGTGTTGGAGATTGGAAGGACATTTGGGATTGTTCAGTGCGACCCTGAAGCTTCATTAAAAGCCTTGGTCGAGGCAGTCACGGGTGACATTGGTGGATTGTCATACCGTGAAGCTCCCACTGGCTGGAAGCAAGCTCAGGGATCCATTTCCAACATGCAAGCAACATTGTATGCTCAGATTCGTGCTTTGAAGCTTGACATTCAACATAGGTATGGCATGTCGGTTAGCGTGCATTCGCCATTGTTTCCTTGGATTGTTAAGCACTCCATGTGGCTTCTAAACAGGTTTCTTCATCGGTCTGATGGATTCACTCCATTTGAACGACGATGGGGAAAGAAGTATGGAGGTGCATTGTGTCGAATTGCCGAGTCTGTGCAGTTCCGATTGCCTGCGCCTAAGTCTGAGCCATCGTGGCATTCAGGCATTTGGCTTGGACGTGACACCACATCCGACCAGCATTTTGTGGCGGATTCCAATGCTGTGTACAAGGTGCGAGGCATTCGGAGACTTCAGCCGGGATCACAAGTCAAGCGAGATTTGATGCAAGGGTTGCGTGCATTGCCATGGGATCCAAAAGGATCCAAGGTCGAAACGGATTCGTTCATCCTTCCGGGTGATTCTGCTGTGCTCCAGAAAGGTGAACCCCAGCCACCTTTGGGGATTCCACCAACTGACGAGCAAACAGAGGAGCCAGATCACGATGGAACTGGTGAGGATTCGTCAGCCCAGTTGTCCCAAGGATTGACGCGAGGTCATGAGGACATTGACAGGGAACCTGGAGAGCATTCGGAGTCTCCAACCAATAGGCGCAGATTGGCAGAGGCAAGAGGCATTAAGAGAACCAGTGAGCAGGCAGAGATTCCTGAAGCGGATTCTACTGTAAGCTACATTTCTGCCATCCTGCCATGCGAGTTTGGTTGCACATTGGTTGAAGATTGTAGGATTGCCACAGTCACCACGCGTGAGTCATTGGACTTGCCCATTCATGTAAACCAGGATGAAGAAGAATTAGGGAACATGAAGAAATTTGCCAATCCGATTCTGTGGGGAGAGTCTGAATTCCCCAGAGATTTGGAAGAGGCAGGAATGAACAAGGAAATGAATTCCATGAAGGACTTTGATTCGTATGTAGAAGAGAAAACCGAGGATTTGACGCAGGAAGAAGTTGATTCAGCAATTTCAATGAAGTGGGTTAAGTCTTGGAAAGGAGCAGAAGTGAAGTGTAGATTGGTAGCCCGTGGCTTTGACCAATACATTGAAGATAAGGATGACACATTCGCTTCTACCCCAAGCTTGTCCACATTGAAGTTGTTGATTGCGTTGTCCATTGCCATGAATTTGGATGTTGTGATTGCAGACGTGTCCACCGCATTCTTGCATGCGACGTTGTGGCAGAAGATTTTTGTCATTCCTCCAAAGGAGTACTACCCTCAAGGGGGCGTACTTTGGCGATTGAAGAAGGCATTGTATGGCCTGAAAGGTTCGCCAAAGGCATGGCAACAGCATTTAGCCAAGACCATGCTTGACGCAGGATTTGAGCGTTTGAAGTCAGATCCGAATTTGTACCGACACAAGACCAAGAAATTGTGGGCATTGGTCTATGTCGATGATTTGATGTTTGTAGGTGAGCGACGTGACATTGATGAGGTGATGCAAGATTTGAAGAAGGTGCTTCTGATTCGGCAGACAGGTGAATTGAGTGAAGGTAAGACAGTCTCCTTCTTGGGACGTCAGATTCGCCGAACATCAGATTCCATGGAATTGTTCATGTCTCCTGATTACATTGACCGCATGCTGGATTCCTATGGCATGACCAAGAGCAAGCCGGCTCAGACGCCAGGAGGAGATTCATTGCGGAAGTTGCTTGACAACGAATTGTTGAATTCGCAAGAGCATAAATTGTATAGGAGATTGGTTGGACAATTGTTGTGGCTTGCAGCATTGCGTGTTGACATCATGTATGCTGTTAAGGAGTTGTCACGAGGATTGGTTGCTCCCACTGAGGTGCACAAGATTAAGTTGAAGACATTGTTGAGGTACCTGAGTGGAACCAAGGATTATGTCCATGTTATGAGACCTGATTTCCGGATTGGAAGACAGGTGAAATCATTGGACATAAAGGTCTATGTGGACAGCGATTGGGCAGGTTGCACCGATTCCAGGAGGTCCACATCAGGAGTAGCATTGAACATTCTCGGCATCAACATTTCAGCACACAGCAGAACACAGGCCACCATTGCCTTGTCAAGTGGGGAAGCCGAACTTTATGCTATTGGAAGTGGTGCGGCCGAGGCCCTATTCATTAAATCTTTGATTCTGGAAACCCTTGTGGCTCCCAAGGTGAACATCATTCTGTTTACCGATTCAACTGCAGGCAAGAGCATGGCTGTCAGATTTGGGGCATCCCGGAAAACCAAACATGTCCAATTGCGATTTCTGTTTGTCCAGGAGCTGGTTTCCTCTGGGACCCTGGTGATTAAGAAGATTCCGGGAACCCTCAACCCATCTGACATTTTAACCAAGTATGTTGCCAAGGCAATTTTGCAGAGGCATAACATCACATTAGGGATTTGCCCTTCAGGTAGTAGATAGTCAACATGATTCTGTTTCACTTAGTCAGTAGTCAAGACATTTTGCCACGAGTGAATTCGAAGCCATTTCATGCATGACTGCAACATTTGTTTTGCTCAACATTCTGACTGACATTTCGGTGTGCATTTACTTCGACCGATGCGATGGACAGCCCGCATTCCGGAATTTGACGCGACAGTATTTCCACCGGATTCTCGCAAGAGATTTGAAGATGGAGCGCACGAATTTTTCGGAATACAAGGCATTCATTACGGCCACGATGTTGTGGCAGATTCTATTCAGCGGCCAGCAACAGGAACAATTTGGGTTCCAGGATTTTATTTTCATGAACCGATTCGCGGACGATGCCTGGAGTGCGCAGATTCTGATCAGGATCATTCCAAACATTGCGGCTGGGAGTATGTCCTATACTCCATTTGAGAGGCATTTGTGGCTACAATTCCCACCAAGGGTGGAGAGATTGATTCCATTCAACCCCAATTGGAATTTGCAACATTTGAACTTTTGCATGTTGCCATTCATGCTGTATTTCACCATGCCTTCAGCAATGTGGAACCATTTGAAGAGGATTTTTGAGGGCCGTGCCAGTAACATTCCTGAGGCTATGAAGGGAACATTTGCAATTCTTGCTTCACATTGTTTCTGGAACAGTCAGTTTACTGGATTCCATTTGAGCCCGCGTTCGTCTTTGCTATTCTTTCTGTATTCATTCAGCTATGAGCGATCATTTGCACCAGAGGGTGATGCAAAGAACAGATTGATTCAGTATTTGGCGGACACACCAGTGGTGATTGGATTCAGGCCACATTCGCAGCGATTTCTTGATTTCATGAGGCATTCATTTACTCACGTATTTGTGAGGTCTCACATTGACCCCATCATTCACTTCAAGGATTACATTTGGGATTCAAGAGACAGCTTGGCGATGCAGGAGATTTGCTCCATGGCCGGATTCAATATCAAGGCCCAGATTGGGGAATTGATGCTCGCTGCCAATTCATTGCAGCAAAGCAATTCCCATTGGTACCGGGATTACCACATGTTCATTCCCAAGACCTGGAAGACTTCATTGGACAAATTCATGGGCGACTACCAGGAGATTCCCAAGTCACTGGTAGATTCATATTACAGAGCGAAGCTGTGATTCAGCATTGGTGGAGCTGGGATTTCGATTCTGGCCAGGCACCGATTTGGATGCATTTATTCCACACTGGATTTGCATTGAGATTCTATGTTCATTGGATATCGCGATTTTGCCTGGTTCGATTTGCCACTTCATTTGTGATTCAGTTTTCGGCATTTGTGTGGAGGTACAGTTACAACATTACTGTAGATGACAGTTTACTTTTGGTTTGGATTCATCTATGACACCAATACATTGAGAGGACGTTTTCTGGTGATTCTGGAGGCGATACTCTTGGAACACATTCTGTCTGTGATTCGAGTCCACAATACATTCAACCACTTGTCCTTGTGCATTTCCCAGCATTGCAATTCTTTTGGTGATGATTAGGTCACCCGTTTTGCATAGACATTTTGCAGAGAGAAAAGATTTCAAGGCAGCTTGGCATTCTTTGGAATGCATTTGTGCTAGTGGAGTGTGGATTAATTCCACATTTTCCATTAATCCAAGGGGGCGTGCGAAAGTACACCATGCATTCCCACTTGGATGTAATTCATACTGATTACCATTGCATGGCTCAAGATGACAAAGGTGCATTTGCTGCCTTGGTTGATTAGCAGAGATTAGTCTCTGATTTTCCCAGGTTGGTTGGTCAGCTGGGCGGCCGCATCCCCAGCATGCCCAGCATTTCCGGTTTCTTGTCACGGCTGCGTATGGGGCATGACTTGATGCTCAGGATAGCGCATCGCCAGCATTACTGGCCTCACTCGGACCTATTGGCTTTGGTTTGGTGGCAGTTCAGGGTTGATCGGGGCTGGTTTGGGGTGAGTGCTGGGCTTGCTGAGATATTAATGCGGGCGGGTCTTGGGTTTGTTTAGGGTTCATTTAGCCTCGGCAAAGGGCCGATATGCAGGATGCGGTTGGGAGGGTTTCAGGTTGACTTTGGGTCGGTTTTGGCTTGGTTGGGGCTGATTCGTGCTAGATGTGCGGCTGGTTTAGCCGTGGCTTTCGGGTTGCTTCAGGGATGTGGTTCTGCAAGTTTTGTGCTGGTTTGGGATTGGTTGTGGGGCGTTGCCCCAAACCACCAATCCTAGCCCAAAACTTGCAGAACCACATCCCTGAAGCAACCCGAAAGCCACGGCTAAACCAGCCGCACATCTAGCACGAATCAGCCCCAACCAAGCCAAAACCGACCCAAAGTCAACCTGAAACCCTCCCAACCGCATCCTGCATATCGGCCCTTTGCCGAGGCTAAATGAACCCTAAACAAACCCAAGACCCGCTCGCATTAATATCTCAGCAAGCCCAGCACTCACCCCAAACCAGCCCCGATCAACCCTGAACTGCCACCAAACCAAAGCCAATAGGCAGCTCGCGTCCGAGTGAGGCCAGTACTGCTGGCGATGCACTATCCCGAGCGTCAAGTCATGCCCCATACGCAGCCGTGACAAGAAACCGGAAATGCTGGGCATGCTGGCGATGCGGCCAAGCTTGTGCCGAGCCGGGGCTAGTACAAAGCCGGGGCTAGTTAAAAAAAAAGCACCTCAACCTGGTAAATCCCACGGGATGACACCCAGGCTTGGTGAAAGCGACAGCATTTCCGTAGGGTTACCACGGCCCCGACTTCCAGATTTTATCCTCGATCAACTTCCGCATGCTAGGATTCACGGCTTGGCGAAAAACAATAAATGGGTTGCGGCAGATGAGGCGGTAAAGAGGCACAGAATGGTGTTCCTCGCAACCTGAGCACACCTTATTTGAGACCTATGATGGGGCTCGAAAGTCCAACGCTTGACATTTACTAAATCCAACGTAACGTAACCTCATGTTCGAGCATGGTTTTGGATGTTTTGGAGGTATAGAGGAGCATATGCACCTACAGGGTAGTCAAGCAGTATAAACCCATGATGCAAGTAGTATATAGACCGTTACCTCCAAATTCTATCCCTGACAATTATTTGGATGCAATGCACCATGATGCCACTTTCAACCTGTAGCTGAGGCGCAAAGTGTCGGCACTGCAGTGCACAGCGGATTTCGATTGTGCGAAGGCTATCCTGAAACTTGGCATGAGACGTCACCAGTGGCGAGACCCATTTGGGCAAATGATTAGAATGCGACGACACCCATGGTGAAGGCTCCTTGCTGGTCGGCCCCCATTTGAGTTTAACGGAATGGTTGTGACTTTCCCAGACCAATGTTTAAACCCCGAGTCCGGCCTCATGGGTTTGGATGGGCCATGGGTATGGCTCCAGTCACCAAGGAACGGCTCGCTGGCCCCCGTCCTTGGCGCCGCCTGCAGCGCCGCCTCCGGCAGCTTTGTACAGCTGAAACGGGCCTGCGGCGCTTACAGATCAGGCGCTGGGTGATGCTGGCTGTGTGTATTTGTGCGTTGTGCGTTTGTTTGTTGGCATTTAGTTTTTTTCCCCCACCGACAGGTTTGGGGTTGTTGGATTTTATGTGACTTCCGACCGCCGCATCCAGCAGACCCGCAGACAGAGCCTGTGACAGCGTTTGACAGCGGTAGCAGAGCAGCCAAAGCCTGTGACAGACATATACGACAGGCATTGCGACAGACCGCTGAGGCTGTGACAGTGCTTGTGGGTCAGACAGAGCCTGTCGAGTCGCTTTTAATTGATTGAGTTTTGTTTTTTTGGGTGCAAGGGGCCACAAGCTGCGCTTCATGACTCCCGCAGCCAATGTGCAGAGCAAAGGGTGTCCACCAACATTAAGAAACTGTTGGAGCCATGTTGTTATTAGTCATGGCTTTCCTGGATTTGATTGTTTGTCATTCACACCATGGCCTGCGTCAGCAGGTGGGTTTAGCGGATGTGGCAGGCAGCTACGGGAAAAGCAAACTCATAAGCCAAATGTACCCACAAGATATCAGGGTTTTCTGCTAATCTCTTGTACATGTTCGTGTAGCTGGCCGCTTAGAAAGAGTCTGCCTGCTTTTGCCTGGCAAGGCTTCCTTGTCCCTTGGATCACCCCGTCTCCATCATCGACACGCCCGGCCTGGATAGCTCAGAGGTGGGCCCTGGATGGACCGTGACCGTTGGCTTCAGTGCGCTTTCAAAGTGTGGTGGGCTTGGCAAGAGGTTTCAAACTGCTACCCGCAAGGGGAAATAAAACATATTGCCGATATTGCCACTTATCAAGGCACAGCTGGCTTGTGGAAAGCCATCTTAGAGTTTGACATCATTGGAATGTTGCCGAAGGAATCCTGGTTTGAGCAGACTCGTAGAAGAGGGGTGTAGCTTGCCATGTTGTGTGCACGAATCCTGGTGAGCTCGCCTTGCGGCGAAACACGCTGGGTTTGTCTGATTTCCGGATTAGTTTTGATTCAGAGTGCTGAAATATGCTGATGAGTGCCACTGTTATTTTGTGCACTTGCGTGGCAACCAGGGCAACCGAAAGTGCAAATTACCATTATGCGACATCATTTGTACTAGGGTTTTCTCACTAAAACGAAGCAAGCCCTCAGCCACTGCATCAAGTGTGCATGTTTGTCGGCTTGTGAGTCTTCATGGGAGGAGGTGCCCTTTTGCAGGATGACTACTGGTGCCTCCAGCCTAAGAGTTAATGGCTGGTTGGGGCATGCCCCCAGCTGCACTATAACTGTGGGCAGCCGCGCTTCGGTGGAATTGCCTCGCCAGGTCTGGCAGCACGTTAAAGAGCTTGTGCGCTCGAAGGCGCGGTCCAAATGGAATCCATCCATTTTGGGGCTTCCCTTTGAGACAACTCCAAATCAGCACGCGCAACACCGGCCGGCAAAACCTTGATGACAAAACAGTGCGTGCCCTTCTTCGGCTTGAAGGTCATGTTGCCGTGCCGTTTGGTTTGCCTATCCCCTGTTTATTGACATTGTTTGGATCAATTTGGCATCCTCACGCATGGCTACACTTCCGATGTGCAATTGAATGGCTGACGAGAGTTCCTATGTTGTTCACGTGTTCCTTCCTGTTAAAAGTCACGTGTGGTTCACACCCTCCCAGCAGCAAAAGTGAACATGCATTCCTTGTGTAAAGGGAGCCGGTACGCTTGCACGTTCGGAGAGCATTTTTGCACCAGGCCTTCTTGCTGGTCTGGGTTGCTGCCCTCGACGCGCCCACCACCTTTGGGACTAATGGCGAGAAGCTGCTGGAGCTCTACAGGCGAGTCGGCAGTTGAGGAACTTGGAGTCAACTTTGGCTTCCGGAGGGCCATGCCAAGCTGAGGATGTTCCCATGATTCAAATTCCCCACAAGGTCAGGTTCTCCGAACTGATCTTAAGTTGGCCTTACAGTAATCAAGCCCCGTATCCTCAGTCACGGGCACGCGCGCGAGAATGAATGGGCTTTCAAGGCCAGCAGCAGGTGAGTTAGCGCAGTGGCGGGCCCTTGGGTGCCCTGCAAGGAAGCGTCTCACAACACAGCAGTTTCAGAAGATCTCATTTCAGGCACACTGTAGAAATCGCCCTTACTGCTTTCATTACCGCCTTCCAGCGACTTTGCCTGTTCTGCAAAAGGTTGCTTGTGGCTTTCCTGCTGCGCCGTTTGTTGGCTTTCGGATGTAATGCCTAGGGCAGCGTAGTGTCACATGGCAAGCATCCGCTTTGCTCCGTTCTCTTGGCCGATGTTTGTTTGCGGTGTTGGGCTGTCGGGGCAGGGACATGCAGCACTTGTCCTTTGTCGCAAGGTCAAGCGGGCATTCTTTACCACCAGTCTTGGCCGTCCCCTTAGTTCAGCTGTGCCCAAGTCACGGGCAATCATGGCTAAGTATGGTTAAGTTCGACAAAATTTGACAGCTTCACATGGTCGAAGTCGTACGAATCGTTTACGCTTTGATTGCCAGTTATGATTGCTTGAGATGGCTGGTTGCTGCTTGATTAGGGACGTCCGGGCAGCTGGAGGGCTTGAATTAGAGGGTGACATGAGCCGAGTCCAACGTATATTGTGTTCCTTGTTTATTGATGTCACATGGACGTCTCTTACTCTGTTTTGAAACATTCAATAGGTTGGATAGGCGAGCATCAGCTGCGAGCGTCAGCTGGGGTTGCGGTCCAGCTGAAGCGGTAAGGTGCCAACGTGTAACTTCCATCGCTATGTTGGCTCACAAAGCCTGGCAATTCCTTGCCAGCAGGCGCTCAAACCAAACCGCCGAGGTCCTGACAAAGTGGGACCGACTCCAATCCCTGCCGGAATTCGATCCAGACTCGCTGCAAGGCTTGCGGTGGGGACGGACGGACTTAATCCGCAATTAGCTTGATACGCCACAGAGGTCACCCTAGAAGAATCCTTAGCCTTAGACCACAGACACCGGTTGCCAATTCCAAGACTGAGTTCTTTCGAAGCTCCTCATGAGTAGTATTTGCCTATTTTATCGACGAGCTCACCCGGGGGCAAAACAAGCTGACCATGATGTAGGTCCTTCACTTGGGGATGCAGATCTAGGTTTGAAATGATTGTCCAACTTGCAAATAACATGAGGCCACAAGTTGTTGGCTTCAGCCAATGATTCGTGGACGATTGGGTTTCAGAGCCACTGTGAGCAGCCGGGGGAATCCTCTGAAGGTGACAAAATGGCCATAGAACTTTTCCCGAGCGACCCAAGCTGACCCAGGTCTACCTTTTCCAAAAACATGGCTAGGTTTTCCCAAATTTTCTGGCCTCAACAGGAACCTCCCGATTTTTTTTTCCGGCCAACCGTCAAACCCAAGGTACCAAGACATGGGCAGCCCAGGGCTTTGGTCGTCGGCGGGCGGGCCAGGGCACCTGCGCCAGCGCTTCGGCGCCCTGAAGCGAAGTCTCTGCAGTACCACGGTCTCGGACCTGACCTCCGCATCTTGGCAACGGACACGGGGGATTCCCAGGGTGGGGGGGAGGGTGGGATGATGAATGGCATCCAGGATGAGCAAGTGGGGCAAGCAGAAGGGTAAAAAGTGTATGCCAACCATACTTGATGACAAACAAGTATCGAGAGTTTACGCAGCGCAAAGTCCCTCATTGTCCTTGCAGGATGTTGCATCAATAACGGCATGACCATGGCTTTGCACAGCGAGTCTCAGCGCAACTGAGGCAGCTATGCTCCTCGGTTTCAGGCTTTAAACTGTTTTTAAGCATCATCTCGAAATACACAGGGGAACCCCCCAAGATTGGGCGGTTTCCCTGGGTTTATCTTCTAAGCCATCCTGATAGGGGACCCGCGACAAACAACCGCATGGCTAGGAATCTAGATTTTTCCATGATCAAGAACCTTCCAAGCGGTTGGGAAACAAGTCCCCCATGTCAATGAGAAAGTTATGTCCAGCAAAGGGTCGCCAATTCCGGTTCCTTCCCAAGAATTAGGAAGCCTCTTTGTTTTTGGGCGTGCGAGGGGGCCCAGGATTGATGTACTTGGCTTTCTGTCGCCGAAGACGCTAAGCTTCCGACGCAGCCGCTTTTGCCCAAGTGTGTGCAGAGCCACGTTATGCCACGTTGCCTAATCCATCATCATTTGGCACCTGTGGTAGCTGGCTGTTCCTTTGCACCGTAGTTTTGTCAGCCCGCTAAGGGTGAGGCGCCAATGACATCACAATGTGGAACCCATCGATGGACGCAAAAGCGATGGATTGCCATGGATCCTTGGAGCCGTTGGCAGGAGATGCTTCAAATCTTGCGGCTGCTTGTTCTTTTAGGGAATGTTTCACAACGGATGTCCTAAATATTGCTGCAACCTACCGCAATGTACCAGGGTTCGGTGCTTGGATGTGGTTGGTTCACTTGCAATACTCAGGGAACCAAATGTGCCCTTAATTCAATGCTGGCTCAGAGCCATAGCAAGGGGAAACATGGGTAGATGGCAATAAATGGCCTTAATGGCCCCTACAGTCAGTATTATGCTGCTATGGCTCCCCTTGCTGCGGCTCTGAACCAGTGTGTTTTGCCTCACGCGACCTTGGTGCAGTGCTTGTGCCGCATTTTCTCTCTCTAACGCCTCGCTTGAGGTATGGGGCTGCAAGCTGAAACCATTTATTAGCAATGCAAGGCTTTTCCAAGATGAAATCGGGTCCTAGTTGATTCCTGTTTTGAACAGATCGGACGTTGCAGATTCATGACCTGCAAGGGTAACAGTTTCACTCCGACTTCATTGGTGCAATCGTTGGTTTGAAATACGGTTTCTGACCCCGCGAGATTGTTGCACAAGGATTCAGGTTTCTATGCGCGTGGGAGTCCCACCTGAAAACGAACATGCTGAGAGTTGTGTTTCTAAAGTTGAGCCTTCGGAGTCGCTTGGGCATCATTCCTGACGCACGAGGCGCTGGTGGGGTTGAATGGAAACGGCGCCATGTTTGGCTCGAAGGAGCTGAAGGTGTTGATTGAGACTTCGTGAATGGAAGTGTAGTGTGTAGCCCAAAACGTCCTAAACCTTCAGCCTCCTGCAACTAGACTAATCACTGCAATCTGCCAACAGGGTTCTACTGCCGGTCCTCCTCCCAAACGTGCAGCATATTTTGCAGGAGTGCGTAAGATTCGTTTGTGCATGCGCCTTCCATATATTGGCAGGGAGAAGGGGAGACTTCGCCTCAGACGCCATGGAGCAGGGACGGTCGTCCAGGAGGCTTAAGGATCCCTTCACCCTTCGAAGGCTGCTATGCTTTTTGTGCATCCACCTGGTGGCTTTCGGAGCCGAAATCAGTGCGATGGCTTTATTCGGCTTCACCGGTGATCTGATGCTTCCCCTGACCATACATATTTTTGCACTTTGGTCGCGGGTCTTGTTCTGGCTCTTGTGCTTTTGCTTGTTCTGCAGCTTTCCCGACTTCTGCGTGGTTAGCGCGCTTGCCTCGTCATGTCGATTTGTTGGGCAACTGCGGGGTAGTTCCCCTTTGGAAGGGAGTTTAACTTATATTCCTTTGATTGATTAGCACGATCCCCCGCAAACATTTTTTGCATGTTCCTTGATGTTTGAGTGTGCGCATGCACCTGTGGACTGGGGAAGGAAATTTGTGGTCGCCTTGCTGGTGCCGTTTCTTTTCTCGGGCATGTTCTGCACCCATGCCGCCTGGTACGTCGATTTGCCACACTGCAAATCTCGCCTCATGCCGCTCAAGGACCGCTAAGCAGATGAACTACAACCCCACTAATTTCCATAACGGTACTTCCCCGGCATGTTCCCGCTGCAAGGGTATAGAGGGCATTAGAGGGCCTTCCCACTTTGCATTTCTACGAGGATGAAACGGCCAACCCACGGCATGAGTTGTCGCCAAGGCCTGCTCCGAGTTGAGATGTTCAACGCACGCCCTCTCTGGATGCGCTTCTTGCATTGGTTGTCAACAGAAGAACATCTACACAGTTCCCATGCCCAGAAAAAATATGCTCGAGGACAAGCCTTTGTGCGTGGCTTTGCTCCTGGCCATTCCCATGGGAATCTTTCAGGGTGTGATTGTCATGCTCGCGCTGGAAGAGTACGGCGCCAAAAGTGGGGTAGCGGATTCTTCCGACCCACGGGAGCGTAGAAGGAGCGCTTCTTCCTTGCCTCCGAACAAGTACCACTGCAAGGCAGGAAGGCTGATGTGGTGCACATGGCACCTCTCAACCCGAGAAGTGGCAAGTTCGGCCCGGTGGGCCTTGTTCCTTAGGCATTTAGTGACAGATGCGGATTAAAACCCACGAGGTTATGAAAAGGCTAGACTTGGGTACTTGTTTTTGACATGAGCAAAATGCGGGACTCAGGCGGTGAATGGCCTGTTCGAGGGGATCGCATCAACTGCAGTGCTCCTCTACGCCTTTTGGAGTATGGGGATTGGAGATCCGCCCATCACCACCATGCGATTCCAATTGGAGCGACCCTTTGTGGGCTTGCTAGGTATCGTGTGCTTCCTGTCTGCGGGCTTGGGGTTGATGGAGCTTGACTATTGTACCTCGCGGACCATTTCAAGGTGCTTTGCCATGACTTAGTCGGCTTTTCGATTCAATCCTCAATCCTTGCTTGTTGCGAATGTGCGAAAGGCGTAGCTTTTCCAGTGTGTTTCTTCATGCAAGTTCTGGATCAGGAATGCAGGTAGGTATATTTGCCAAAACCGCGTTCCTTTTTGGGGGAGCCAGGTAGAAATCTTAGAGATCCAAATTGTGTGTTGGATGTGCCAGCGAAGCTGAGGCGGATGCGAAGTCCGCGCTATGAGGTCTTTCATTGGCTGTTTCGAACCTGTGAGGTGACATCCCGGGTTTGCATGTTCATTTGCTTCATGGTGACAACGCGGCAACAGCCTCAATGGCAAATGTGGTGGTGCCTGCTGCTGATGGACTTTTGCTTCACTGTGCTTGTGGCTCGTTTGTTGTTTGGGAGTCTGGTGTTGTTTTTGCTTGAGGGATTTGATGCTCCAATCATCCCATGTGGGTAGATGTCACCCTACATTTCAGCGATTGTTGTTGCTTTCTTGTGCTCTCCAGAACTGATGCCTGCCCATCCTGCCTGGCTAAATGTGCAAACATGTTTTTTTCAGTGCGCAGTGGGCCGTTCTTGTTGTTTTTTTTCGGGTGACTCAATCTCGTCGCAGGCCTCATTTTGATAATGTGATGTTCGTTTGGTTTGGTGATGCACATTTATGTGCATATGAAGTCGTTTGAATCATCGGACTTTAAGAACCCTGCTTGGCGTAACCATGGGTGGCCAATCATCATTCCGACTCAGAATGCCTAGGTAGTCACCGTTTTCGGGGGCGTGGAATCTGCTTGGTGGATTCGGATTCTTTGCAGCTTCCCGTGCCTGGTTTGCAACATTTTCGCCTTCATCGACTCGCCGTACAAGCGCAGAGCCGCAAAGCACGTGTCACTGTGGTTGACGGCGAAACATGCCGCAGAGCTGATCCTTCTTCCCGCTTTGCTCTACTGGTCACTGCAAGAGGAACTATATGTCGACTTGAGCCTCAGCGTGGCAGCGTGCTTTTCCTTTGTAACCGTATTTTGTTGCCCTTTGGACTTGGCCCGAATCATTTGCGAATGGTTCTTGTTCAGACTGAGGCAAAACAACTGGAGAAATCATAGGCTCATGGTACTGGTGGCCTTGTCATGTTCCGTCCTCTACTGGCTACTGCTGTGGTATTTGTCCTCCAAATCTATGCATCGCAACAACATGATTGACATCTTCTCTGCCTCTGAGACGGGGCGTGTCAGCGATGTTCGCTCCGCCATGCGCGAGCTGACGCACAGTGCCGCTGTTTGCCTCAACGTCAACAGCGCCTCCGACTGGGTAGGGTTAGCTCTCGCACTCTTGATTAATGCCTTGATCAATGTGCATGTGCTGTGCTTGCGCACTATCAACTAAAAAGCAGGCACCGTGAACAGCCGAAAGACAGAGCATTGTTTCCGGAGCCTTGATTTGGCTCCTGATCTCTGAAGCAGACAATTTGTGGGGTTCAATGTGCTGCTAAGGTCCTGATGTAGACGGGAACACGCCACTGATGTTGGCAGCTGCCAGGGGCCATGCGGAGGTGTGCGGTTTGCTCATCAAGGAGGGCGCACGCGTCGACTTGCGCCGCTTCAGGGACAACAGGACGCATGCATGCGCGAAAAAGCCTTACCATGCTTACCAAGCATTCAGTTTGCTTGCTTTTGCACAATGGGTTCGGATTCCGAACCTTAATTATTAACCTTCACCCTCTTGCGAGCAGTTTCGGGACCTGCATTGGCACTTGCAGGAAATGCCGGACCTGCTTGGTGATCTCGCTCCGACGCCAGTGGACGGCCCTGCACATTGCTGCCTGGAAGGGCCATTTGAAGACGGTACAGGCCAGATTGAGCCCAATGCCGCATGGATCGCGCTGTTTTCCACGCAACGGGTTGCTTAGTTCTCCCCATGT